GTTTACCCCACTGTTGCCCACATGAGCATTCAAGTCCACCAGCACAACTCCAGAGTCCCTGGGTAGTATCCTTTCCAAGACCTCACCCAGGAGGCAGGAAAACAATCTAAATAAACAAATGTTAGTGGTCTATCATTTTCTAAGATATGTCTTATAGATTTAGTGACCTGATTTAATTGCTAAGCTACGCTTTATTTTTTATTTTTTGCAGTTATCGACAGAGTTTCATCCACTCTAAACAATATGTGTGAGTTTCTTGCAACAGTGTCATTAACTTTAACTTTGAGAGAAAAAGATGTATTGGAAAGTTGATTCACACAGTTTTTCTTGGTGGAAAGAGAAGAGACAGTATAACACTCCTCTGCCCTCTATCAGCTGTGTGTGTGTGTCTGTGTGTGTGTATGTGTGTGTGTGTGTGTGTGTGTGTGTGTGTGTGTCTCTTTTCTCATCAGGGAGCCAAGTTGATCCACATCTGCTTCTGATCACTAAAAGTAATGCAATATTTATCCAATACAACATCTGACTCTCATTATTAAAACAAATACAATATGGAGCTGACTTAAAGGCCAAATCCCCAGATCGCAGTGTATCAGCTATACGCAGCAGAACACAAAATACAGGTCTGAGTTTACACACAATACAAACTGTTGAGAGCTTCAGAGTGAACGCTGGTGCGGCTCTGAGATCCCCCCACCCCAATACTATGAGCTCAGTCATCAAGAGCAACTTTTGATTAAATGTAAACAGGAGAATAAATTAGTTTTTGAATTTCTAGTCCTCTTACTGGTGGACAAGGATGCAAACACAAACCTTAGAGTTTGAATAGATTAGAGGACTAAAGTGTTGTCCTATCACTGCAATCCTAACCATGGGAATGGAAATGTTTGGAATGATGCAGAGGCTGGCAGTTTGAGATGGGAATACGAGAAGTGCTGGCTAGAGGTAGAGATTAGAGGGACTGTCCTGTAACCTGAAGGTCACACGTTTGATCCTCATGACAGTTACATGTCCTGTTAAAGCAGAGAAAAGGTCCAAGGTCAGTACATAAAGGCTTCCCTACACTGACTGTGGCACTAAACAATGTTTAAAATGAGTCACAAATATATATGTTTCATTTAAAAAAAGTAAAAGTAAAAAATGGATTTCGAGTTGAGGTTGTTAACTGCTATTTCACAGGTTTAGAATGAACTCTCAACCTTAAATCTGAAGCCAGCATGGACATGAACGTGTTTTAAGTGCTTGGAAAAAATGGAAATCTGAACATGTACATTTCCATGACAAGTGGTAATATCCGAAGACCCAAAATAACAAGGAAATTGACTTTGAGATGACATTGTTTAGTCAATCAGGAAGCAAGTTCCTTAAACAGGTGGGCACAGTATGGTTTAAATGAACACAAACAAGATTACATACTACTACTAGCACAAACAGCACTTCAACATTCGGTATTCTCCTGCCCTTATTTTGGCCCGGCGTACAGTGCACAGGTGGGAGGACAGGAACAAACAGGTGAGAGGTTCAGTCAAATGAAGCAAAGTGAGTCGTGGTGGTGAGAATAGATATCTCAGAACCACGTCTGTTTTTGGCGTGACGTCACTCAGCTGCCAGTCTGGTGATTATATCAACAACAGTAGACTACATACTTAAAGCAAATGCGCAGCGATGACAGATGAATGATTAAAATGTAATTACGTCATTTTAATGAATCACCCGCCGATAAGCTTTATCAGGCTTCGGATACAAAGACAATACGAAGAATCCATTTGTTTTTTGTCATGGAATTTGTTGACAATAAGAAAAATATAGACACCAATATTTGGAAAAAGTACAATTTAAATGCATTCAACTTTTATTTTACAGATTAGTATAAGTGCTATAGCCAAAGGATCCCTGTCTCTGAAGTTTCCCACAGGAAGACCAAAGAAGGAAACTACATTTCCAATCAAAAAAATCTGGGACAAATGTTGAGCTAAAATTATTCTCAGGAGAAAAAAAAATCAAATAATAATAATAATAATAAAAGAAACAACTTGTGATTGCATACATGTACTCCTCTATCTGCCTCGGACACATACACACAGATGTTGTTTGTATTTTAAAAAAAGCCCTCCTCCTGTCTTTCCCAGAATCCCTTGTTGTTTCTCACAGCATGCTTGCAGGTTGAAGGGAAAAGAGGGAGGAGCTAAAATGTCAGAGGTCACTTGACAAAAATGTTTGATCTTTCTTTTCCCTCTCTGCACGCCTCTCTCTGTCATCTACCACCTCTCTACCTCCCCTTCTTATTCTCAGTATACATTCGCTCTTCTCTGTCTGTGTACGTGCGCTTTCACACTCTTCTTCTGGTCTCTGGGGTTATAAATATTTTCATTCTGGGACCAAAATTCTTTCACAGATTTCCAATAAAGAAGCCGGACTTTCCCACTTATATAAGATCGTTATGACTCGGAGCAATTTTAAGTAGAATCCACACACTTCTTTGTAATCCAAGTAGCAATTTCATACAACTAGAGATTTCATTTAGAATCATTTAAAGAATGTCATCTGACGTCCCTTTTCTTCAAACTATGGATGAAGGGAATAAACTGAATTATGTTTCTTCCTCAAGGGTCACAAAGGTCCTACATAGTCACACAGCAGTCCGACAATACTCTAAATCCGGATGTTGGCTCTTAAATGTTTTTAACATGAGCACTTCTACGTCATAAACAGAAATTGAGTATTGAGAATCCCTGACCACTGATGAAAATTCTCCTGACCTCCTCATTTAGGGAGGTCAAAGGTCAATTGTGTGTGCCTGAAAGAGTAAACCTCCTTCATAATTTCCTCTCTATTCTGTGGCGTTTGGTTTGGTTTTATTTTGTCTCAGGTCCAATGATTTGTCCCCTTAAAATAAATCTCTAGCCCCATCTACTGGCCAATATTGTGCAGGACAGTTAAACCTATACACATGTACATCTGTGTCTGTGTGGGGTGTGGACTGCCTGATGGTTTGAATCCATGGTCATGCACTCTATGCGCCACAGGTTTTGAATCTTATATTCATCTCCAAACTAAATCTGTGGGGTGAAGAGGAGCCTGACAATTAACAAGTCAAAAAAGTTTCCTTGATTTCAGGGGTTGATTAACATCCTGTCTCTCATTTGATATTGAAACCCAATCTCAGGACAAACACAGGCACTGTACTTTTGATTCCTGGTGCGGTCATTGTACCTAACAGCTGCAGGGATGACTGCAGGGATGAGAATGTCAGAGGTACCAGCATCCTTAAATGGAGCCACTAGTGTGGTGTGAGTCCTCCAAACGACTCTGCTATTCATTTAGAAAATTGTTTACTGACACATGCGTGTTAGCGGAGGTTATCTCTTTCTTTTATCTATATAATAACTCAAATTCTGGGATTATACTCCTGTTTTAAGGAGGTTTTAGAGTACATCTGTGTTTGAGATGGTATGCCAAGTGCGTTCAGTCAGCAACCATCACAAAGTGATCGAAGCTATGTGACCTGCACTGAAGGTCAAATATCTATGACGACAGTTTGCAGTGTGTATCAGTGGCTTTGGCTGTCCGAAACACTCCACTTGAAGAGCGGGCTTAGAGAACTATCGTCTGAGAATGCGGGCAAGGACTGTCAACACCGGATACAAATCTGTCATGGTGGGAGGCCACTGTTAACGCTTTAAGCATGGATACTTGCTAGGGAAAATAATAAGGAATATATGTTTCACTAGTTATATAACAAGTTGCATTTTATTCAAACCTGCACTATCAAAGCAGCTGAATTAAAAGAAGCAGTTTGAGCTTTTCATCCTTCTTGTTTGAAATGCTAATGAGACATTAAAATTGTTTCCTAACACCCTGATAGTGAGGATTTCCCTTGCCAGATCATAATGTGCTTAAATGCTTCCAACACTCAGGCAATCTCTTCCTTATCAGTGACCCATACCTTACTGAGAACAGTCTCAGCTTACACAGACACTTGCACATGCCGTTGCTGTCCTGATGTATGATGCCATCTCTGTTCAGTTTTACCTTCTTGTCTCTAGCTAAATGCACAGGTATATACGAGTTCTTGGAACATACACTGATCTGAAAGGTAAATGGCAGAACAAAGTCTCAGGTTTTGGTTATGATGTACCAAGTCAAGTCCCAAGGGCCAAACTTTGTGTATCAAGTCCTAAACTAGTCATTATTTGTCTATCTGTTATTGTACACACAGCTGAACTCACTTTCCCAAGTTGCAAATCACTCTGTTAACTGTAGGCCTGTTAGTCCTGCTTCTAGGCAATCCAGACAAAATAAGCCTTGATTTGCATGTCAAGCTGCTACTTTGACAGTGTGTGGTAGTGAAAATCTTATTATTGTTTGAGAAAACCTTGAGACCTCATGGTGGCTCTGATCCTGAGGTCTGGAACCACTGAAATATACCGTCCTAAATATTTGGGATGTATGACAAGACTAAGAAGCAATTTATTTGGGGATTAAATATAGTAACCACTTTTTTCATTATGAGTTTGAAAATGTCACATTATTTGTACAATCTGGAAAAGTTTTATTTTTTTCTCTTATTGGAAGTTCAATTGTACATTTTCAAACAGCAGTTGGGGTGTCCCTTTTGTGTTCAAATAACTATGTTCTGTGCATTTTTGTAACACCATCTTAAAACTTTTTGGAACCATTTTAACCACAAAAATCTTTTTTCTATTAGTGATGTTACTAATTTAACTCTATTCATAGGTCAGCATGACTCATGATTCAAGGAGCTCCAGCAGATGGGGTGTCCTTTCTCTTCTGAAGTTTAACTCAGGATATCCTTAAAGCTGAGTGATCCATCGCAGAACTCGGCCCCCCCTCTATCTTTAGTGAGCCATGGTCTGTGAATGGAGAGCCTAACTTTATCTGGCCCACTGTCATTGAAGCTGCTGTTATTTTTAGGGGGTGGCTTGCAGTGGCAGCAGCTGGGAAAGCATTTAATGCCCCCCAGCCCCCATTCCAACTCTCTCTCTCTCTCTCCCTCTGTGTCTCTCTCACTCTTTAGCCGTTGGACAATGACAGTATCACAGCTGACGCATTAACCAAGCACTCGACTGAAAGACTGTGGTTATTTTCCTGTCTGCCACCTGCACTCTAAAGCCAAACTGAGGGGACCCAACGAAGAGATGATCTACGACTATAGGCCACCAAGTGTGAATGGAAGATTTTTCTCACTTGCTTTGACTCTCAGTGACCAGGAGGTGTGTCCAATGTAAGCCAGAATCCATAAGCAACAAACGAAACCAGAGAGACAAAGAAGAAGAGCCGAAGAGTCTGAAAGAGATTCATGACTGGTCTACAGAGCAACAGAAATTAAATCTGCCACTTCTACGAGTCCAAGAATAATTCAAAGGTTATATGAATCAACTAATGCCAGCTTGAACGAACCATTTTTAAGTACACAACGAAACAGAGACAGAATGCTTTAAAGAGAGCGACTCATAGAAGCGGTAAGTTTATTCTTTGACTGTTCTTTAAAATAAGAAAAGGATTAGGTAAATCTTCACAATGTTCATTTTCTAGTCTAGTGATTCTTGACATTCAGGCCTGCTTAAGTAGCATAATTTCTATCCATGTGCCAACAAAATGCTCAATGAGTAGCTGAGTCATAAGACTTAAGAAATAACTGACATGCTGGCTGAAGAGCTAAGACATGAGCACATCACTATATGATCCAGGCTGTTTAGAGCATGTGCATCAGACGGGAGAGTGTGGTGCGTCATACACCAGGGACCGTTGCCATTCTTAATGGCAAAAGAAAGATGGTGGCAAGATGACAAGAGCTAATGTTTTCCATTGGCTGCTATAAAGTTCAAATCATAATCTGTTAGAGTGTAATTATCAAAGAAGAGGAATCTGGCTTTAAATACATAATGAATAATAATAATAATAGCAACATGTAAACTAAGCAACAATCCAGAGACAAGATATTCTATCAGGACTGATGCAGCTGACACACATGCTCCATACATACATACACAAATGGGTCAGTTTTGTCTAAGTTAGAGACTGCACAGTTTGTGTGCTATGTGACACATGGGCTCTGGCGTCTTTTTCTGGACTACTTTATAAATACACTCTTCAATGAGTTACAGCACCAGCTGTGAGACAACCGAGAGTGGTTTATGTTTGCTCAAAACCTACTTTACTAAACCACCAAGCATGTGATAAACACGTTACTAAACCCCAGTTAAGCCTTGCTAACTACAGCAGATATTTTGAATATTTGAAACATTTTCACTCCTCTCTGCACTGAATCATCTAAATCATCGTTTACTGATCATAAAATAGTCTCTTTTTAAAGATCCTTCCAGATTTTCTCTCAAAAATATCTCACACTTGACATGCAATCACCTGGCTTGAGTCAGGTGTAAACAGATATGTACAGAGGACAACGTGTCATAACAGTCAAAGCAAAAATATTATTATGTAGGAATGTAGCCTTTAGATTGTGACTTTGTCTTTGCGTCTAGTCAAGAGTCTGAGCAAGTTCTGCAAATGATTGAGTCTTTGTTTTGACTAAAGTTGATTGGCTGCTGAAATATACATTTTCTTTATCTTACAGCTCCAACACCAAATATAAGAGGCTCTAATCAAGGCCATCCCGCAACATAAGAAATTTCTTAATTCCAATCGAAGAGAGGGTGACATCATCATGGATATCTTTGGAGGTGCTCCTCGTGTTTTGGGCTACCCACGCCCTGTGATGGCACAGTGTGGTACAGATGCCACACTGAGGTGCCAAATCGATGGGGACCCTCGTCCTGATGTGATATGGGAGCGTAAAAACGTCCAGATCTTGTCTGATGGACACTACCAGCTCTCCGAGGAGGGAAAAGCTTACCTGCTGACCATTAGTGGAGTGACCCTGCAGGATGCTGGCCAGTATATTTGCAAGGCCAAAAATAGCATAGGTGAAACCTATGCAGCAGCATCCCTCAAGGTGGAAGGAGAGGCCCAGCCACAGGAAGAGGGGCAAAGGCAATTAGGGGTCAATGGTGTGAAGCAAACAGTTAAAGAACATGGAGAAATCGAAGGATACGTGAATGGCTATTGCACGATGCAAAATGGTGAACACAGGAAAGAAAATGGAGAGGGGCTGAATGGGGAGCACAAATGGAATAGCAAGAATAGTGAAAAACGAGAAGAGCTTGATTTAACATCTGATGAGAAACCACGTTTCCTCATCAAGCCGCTCTCTCTGCGCGTGGATCGAGGAGAAGATGCCGCATTCTCCTGCAAAATCTGGGGCACTCCGCTGCCCGAGGTGACATGGGAAAAAGATGGGAAGAAGCTGAATGACATCTTTGAGAGTGCACACTTCAGTGTGAGCAACCAAGATGGCGGCTGGTTCCAGCTCAAGATCTACAGGACACGCATGCCAGACAAAGGTGTCTACACCTGCAGGGCCATCAACTGCCACGGTGAGGCCTTGGCAGGTGGTGTCCTTCTTGTGGAGCCCGTACCAGAGCGAGAGGAGAGTAAAATGTCCTCAAATGGTCACACTAACAGCCAGTGGTCGCCGAAGCACAGGGGCGGGAGGCTCAGTTTGTCAAGAGTTACAGAGGAGTTACCTGTCAATGTTTCTAAAGCCAAGAAGTTTGCAGTGGCAGAGGGGAAACACGCCAAGTTTCGCTGCTTTGTAACAGGGAAGCCCAAACCGGAGATCATTTGGAAGAAAGATGGGGTTCCCCTAGAGCCCGGGAGGCGTCATCTGATATTTGAGGACAGAGAGGGATACTACACGCTGAAGGTTCTGTACTGTAAAGTGCAGGACACAGGACTGTATGTGTGTGCAGCATCAAACACTCTTGGAAACACCCTCAGTGCCGTTCACTTGTCCGTCAAAGGTAGGAGATACCTCTCTGTTTTTAAAGAAATCCGCTTTTCCTGCAATTTAACACAGCTAAACACACAGATTTCCAAAATGCCAATGGACTGATACCCAACGTAAATATAATTAACAATACAAATTATTATGAATCATCTTAAATAAATGAACAGCTCAAAAATACAAACAAATAGTCTTTCCAAACAACAGTGGCCAGATCAAATAACTAATGCTCCAAATGAATAAATCATTGTCGCGGATGCATCCAACTACATGGATAAAACATTAGGTCATAAGCCACACTTGTGCGGGCTAATTGCTTTGTGTGCATTGTTGAAATGCATGGCATCACCTTTTAAAGTGGTTTATTATTTTGTCCTAATCCCTTCATATTGGGCAGATAATTCTCTGGGTCACATACCCTTTCATATGTGCAGTCCTGCACTGTACCAGCTGCCTCTAGTGTCAGTTTAGTCTTGGGGTCAACATGCCTGTCCTTAATTTACAGATAACATGGAGTGGCACTACAGCAACTGAGCGCTGCTTAAAAAGTATTCAGCGGTGACACGAGAAACTTTAAGAGTTTGTACTAAAATACAAAAATGTGAAAACCAAATTTTTTTTGCAGTGATTTGGAATAAAATAAATCTGACAAATAAAAAACAAATGTTATTAAGTCATTAGTCCTTGTTTTAGTTACAAATCTAAAGCTACTACTATTACACAGCAAAACAGCTTCTTTGATTTAATAATCCCCATAAATCTCTTTTATTTTTGTCAATTTAAGCCATGACAGACAATTGTATGTATACTCATTATTATTACAAATCTACATCTCATCCACTTAAACAACTAAATATCCACTTACCTCGTTCTTCAGGCCCAGCTGTGCGGTTCAGGCGTCCATTAAAAGACATAGAGGTGAGGGAGAGGGATGTTGCTGTGCTGGAGTGCGAGGTACCGGATGAGTCGGTCCCATCTGCCTGGTACCTGGAGGACCAGCGGCTGATGCCCAGCAGTAAATATGGGATGGAGCAGAAAGGAACCAAACGAAGACTGACAATCCATGATGTTGGGACGGATGACGATGGAGTGTATCTGTGTGAGATGCCAGACGGAGGAAAGAGCATTGCAGAGTTATCAGTTAAAGGTAAGTTGTACTGCATGTCGGTATGGTGTATTTTAGATTCAGACACACTGAACGTGCAGATTAGTTGCTACATTTTAAAGCTCCAAAAAGGCTCAGATTTATTAAATCACATTCTCCTTTAGGGTATTAAACATTCTCCTATAAAAGAAGAAGTGCGCCATCCAGAGAAACACATTACTTTCACCATGGCAACTTTAGTTTAATCAGTTTAACTATGTCACGTTAGATGATCTCTGGGTAATGAAGTCTATCAAAATGTAATAATTAAAACACTTGCTGTACAACACAAATGAAGAGTTGGGTTAATGAAATATGTTTTTCTACTTTCAGGAACTATTATTCGCAAACTTCCTCGGAAGCTGGAGGTCCTGGAGGGTGAGAACGCCGTGTTCTGCGTGGAGGTGGAGAACGACGACATGGAGATCCACTGGTTTAAAGACGGTTTTAAGATACACGAGACTCACCAGACGATCCTGAAGTCTTTTGGAAAAACTCACATTCTGGTCTTTGTCAACGTGGCCTATCAAGACTCAGGGGTAGTGACCTTTGTCGCAGGAAGATCCAAGACCTCATCACGTCTCAAGGTCAAAGGTACGTTGAGAGAACACTGACGTACATTTTTGTCTCACAGATTCAAGAATTGGTTTGCAAAACATTTTAAGCTTGTCTCTGAGATAAAAAAATGTGTTTTAGACAGCTGTGTTATCTGGCTAAAAAAGTCATATTGCATTTTACATTTTAGTGCCAAATAACAAGATTGGTGGTTCAAAAACAGTTTTTGAATCATTCATACCAATTATATTCTTTGTCCTTTCCCTTTTTAGCCACAAGACACTGCCCCCCTATCTGTCCTGTGGGAGTCAAAATGGATGTGGATCGACCCAACAGTGCCTTGCTCACCTGGGTTCCTGCCCCCAACAGCCAAACCTCCACCCGATCCATATTTGTCGTGGAGAGACAGGAAGTGGGCTCCCAAGAGTGGCAGAAGTGTTTCACCTCAGAGACCGCCACTTCAGCTGAGATCGCCGCCGACAGCGTGCAGTACGAAGGCGACTACCGATTCCGCGTCTGTTGCATCAACAAGTACGGGCGAAGCGGCCATGTGGAGTTTCCCAAAGCTGTCCATCTTGGTGAGGAACTTACTGTGAAGTACAATTGTACATTATTACCATATATACCACATGATAATGAAACAAACCAATCCTCAGTGGAAACAAATGTCCAACACGAAGGTAAAACTGCTTTGAAAATGGACAGCAATGATGCAAAAAACACAGAAGTTTTTGTTAATTTGTAATTCTACTTCTTCTCCTTAGCTCCTGGGCCAAAGATTTGCAGTAATCTCAAAGGCTGTGAGGTTGTGGAAGGAGAAGACGCTCACTTCTCCATCGAACTGTCTGCCACAATGGTTGGAACCTGGTTTCTGAATAGCGCTCAGCTGCAGCATGGCGGAAGATATTTAATACAACAGTCCCAAAAACAGCACTCACTGGTTATCCGTGAAACTTGCGCGTCAGAGGACACAGCAGAGGTCACGTTCATAGCCAACGGAGTCCGGGATTCAGCTGTGCTCAAGGTTAAATGTAGGTGTAAAATTCTGTTATTGCTTTCAAATTTAGCCTCTGATAGATGCATTTCTTTAGAGTTTACTTTTTTGTGTTTATTTCTTCGCAGCTGCTGTGGTAAAATTCAGTCCTCTGTCAGACTTAGACAGCAATAAGAGAGTGGACATTGGAGACGCCATTGTCCTCTACTGTGAAGTTTCCCACCCATTCGCAAAAGTATCCTGGTTCAAAGATGGGAAAGAGCTCGAGGTGGCTGATGGCCTCAACATCCAATCAGATGGAAACATGAGGAGGATTGTGATTCAGTCAGCTGATGCATCTCACTCTGGAGTTTATACGTGTGAAACTTCAGGAGATGTCATCAAATTTAATGTGAATGTTGCAGGTAATAGGTTTTTGAGAAACTTAATTTTAGGGTATATATAAGAACAATTAATATATTAACTGAAATAAAAAATACTGAATTTTATACAATAATTGGTTTTATCATTTAACCAATATATATTCTATATTTTAAAATGTATATTTTAATCATAAGGATGCAAGTTCATTGTATTTAGTACCTTGTGTACCAGCCGTTGATATTCATCCATCCTTCCTGTTTTTTAAGGTCCTCCTGTGGAGTTCATTCCGATCCCAGAGGAAGAGCTCCATAAGAGCAGCATGGAGCTGGACCCCGTGGTGCTGATCTGCCATGTCTCCACAGACGATGCTGAAGTCGTGTGGTAAGACAACGGGGAGTGAATTCTGTTTTCAAACTGTTGAATGAAGAGGAAAAATTGTCAACTTGTGCTTCTATTTCTTTTTTTTCTTTTTTAATGATTCTGAGGAGTTGTTGTTGATCACTGCATTCAGAGGCTTGAAATGGCAAATTAGATGAAAAAGATCCTTTGTTTATTTGAACCATTAACTATTGAATCAAACTGTGTTTTGTTAAGATTATCAAGAAATCTAAACATGTATAACCTGTAAAGCCAGAGAAATCTCAATTATGTTGTGTTGCAAATACAGTGCCATAAAATATACTTTTAAAACAAATCCATTAATGGAAAGGCTTTTTATGTATGTACAATTTAAAAGACAGTTTTGGGTTTTATTATTTTGCATTATTATTATTTGAGACCCTGTGTTTTACAGTGGTCTGTGTCTGATTTGGTGTGTCTCAGGTATAAGGACGGCTGTGAGATCCAGCCCAGTGACAACATCACTCTGCAGGCAGAGGGAACCATGAGGAGGCTGATCATCCGCTCTGCAGAAACCTCAGATGCTGGCAACTACACCTGCCAGGCAGGAAACAACAGCATGGAGTTCACTGTCAATGTCAGAGGTACAGGGAATCTATGACTCATCTGTTGGTCTGATTAGTGTTTAAAGACATAGATTTGCTAGTGAACCAATTAAGCTGGCATTTTTACACTCTCACCTTCACTATGCTTTCTTCTAACTACACAGAGCCTCCAGTGATGATTGTGGAACCTAAGGATGATATTGTGATGGAGAGCTATATCTCAGAGGAGGTCCACCTGCAGTGTGAGTTGTCTCGTTCCAGTGGGAAGATGCGGTGGTTCAAGGATGGCCAGGTGGTGGAGGAAAGTGACAACATCCAGCTGATATCTGAGGGTCCTTACAGGAGGCTGACTATCCTCAGTGGCTCGGTAGAGGATGGCGGAGAGTATGTCTGCGAAACAGATGGAGACTCTGTCTTTTTCCAGCTTAGTGTTAAGGGTAAGACTGAAGTTGCCCTTAGTTCTCACTTCTGATTATAGAATACATATAATACAAATATGTGGAATCTCTAAAGTATTGAAAAGGTTACATTTAACTAACCTCCTTCATCAGAGCCACCGGTAAGAATACTTTCCCCCAGTGAATCAGAGTTGGAACTGACCCATTTGGCCTCTGAGAGGCTGGAGCTTCGCTGTGAAATCTCCCAGGCAGATGCCCCTGTCCGGTGGTACAAAGACAGCCTGGAGGTAGAGGAGGGTCCTAACTTGATCCTGGAGGTGGATGGGGACCAACGCCGGCTAGTTATACCAGTAACCACTGTGGACGACACAGGGGAGTATATATGTGACACTGAAGATGACTCTGTGGCCTTCCTGGTGACAATTACGGGTAAGAATGAGGACATAAGGGTAACAATTTAGCATCGGTATAAACAAATATTCAATTAATTTACTTTGACTGCATTTTTGAAATTATGTTCCTAATTTTCCCCCTTTTAAATGACATTCTTACTTCTTTTTCATTTAGAGCCAGCAGTGACACTTACTCGTCCCAAAAACATGCCGGATAAACTGGAGAGTTTTACTGGAAAACCTATCATGCTGGAGATCGAGGTGTCCCGTCCAAGCGCTGAAGTAAAGTGGTGGCTAAATGGCAGAGAAATAGAGGAGAGCAGTAATGTCACCATCACAGAGGACGGGCTCATCCATCGTCTGACCATCCACTCTCCCACCCCAGAGGATTCTGGGAAATACATCTGTGATGCTGTTGATGATAAAATTGATTTCCAGGTCAAAGTTTCAGGTAAGACACAATGTCAGGTCAGCTTTTGAATATGATTTCTGTCCTAAAATGCAAATTTCAAGATTAACCATAATGTCATACTGAGTGTCAATATGCAATTCTGCATTTTCAGAGCCTCCGGTAAAGATCCTAAGAAAGTCAGAGATTAAGACAAACCTTAAATCCCTGATTTCTGATGACATTGTGCTGGAGTGTGAGCTCTCCAGGGCTAATGCCGTCGCCAAATGGTACAAGGACAACTGTCGTATTGAAGGCAATGAAAGGTTTTGCGAAGAGGAAGAAGGCGCTTTCCGTTCCCTGGTCATCCTCAACGCTGAGCTAGAAGACGCAGGAGAATACTTTTTAAATGTTGGAGATGACAATATCAGCTTCCAGGTTACAGTAGAAGGTAGAATTAATTTTGTGAATTTGATTCATATATATATATCATAAATGATTTGGTTTAAAAATAAACTGTTAATAATACATATACAAACATTTGTCTCTTCTCCTTGGCCTTAGAACCTCCAGTGACAATTGTGGGTAACTCAAATGACCCTGACAATCAGGAGATGGTGGCAGGAGATGATTTGATCCTGGCCTGTGAAGTGTCCCGTGCCAATGCTCCTGTCCAGTGGTTCTGCAATGATAGGCTGCTCACCAATGACTCACGTACTTACATTGAGAGCTACGGCACTCTGAGGAAAATTATCATTTCAAATGTGCAGTCCTCAGATTCTGGGAAATATGTGTGTGATGCTGTTAATGACAAGATGATCAGCGTTGTCAGGATTCAAGGTAAAAACTCACAACCATGTCATCACAAATATGAATATCAATGTGACTGCAAGATCACCTAATATTTGTCTCTTTCCTTTGCTATCAAAGAGCCTCCAGTTACATTTTTGAACAAGAAAGATGACATTGTCATCACGGGCTATGAAGCAGAGAGTGTGACATTGACGAGCTACGTGTCCAAGGAAAGTGCTCTAGTGCGTTGGCTGAAAGACTGGACACCTGTTGAGGGCGAACGTTTCCGAGCACTTACAGAGGGCCATGAGCGCACATTTACCATCGATCCTTTGAGGCGCTCTGATGCTGGCGAGTACACTTGCGATGTCAACACGGACCAGATCCACTTCAGCCTGCTGGTGAAAGGTTAAAATTTCAGTTTCATTTTGTCATCCGATTACATTGTAGAACACTTCAGTTTGGACTGAAAAGCAATACTATGTTTTTTTGCATTACAGAAATGAGAATCAAGTTTTTGAGGCCACTCCGAGACACTGTGGCCCATGCTGACGGTATGGTGACCCTTCGTTGTGAGGTGTGCAAGCCAAAAGCAGACGTTCAGTGGCTGAAGAATGGCGTGGAGGTGTCTGCAGGCAGGAGGTTCTCGATTCGAGCGGATGGGGTTGAGCGAAGCTTGACCATCCATCGTTTAACCAGAGAGGATGCTGGGGAGTACGCCTGTGAGTCCAGAGATGACCGGACTGTGGCAACGCTGCGAGTAGAGAGTGAGTATTCCTGGACTATGTCTTTTCTTACGTGAGGCAGCAGGATCATGAACTTTCTTGTGTCTCTGCAGTGCCTCGAGTGGTGGAATTCCTTACAGAGCTCCACAACACCACTGTACTTGAAGGAGAAGATGCCACCTTCAAGTGCGTGGTTTCCCCTGAGGATATCCAGTTGGTCTGGCTCATGGACAATGAGCCTGTCACCCTGGGTGATCGTTTCCAGACAAACCAGAATGGCCTGTGCCACACCTTGGTTATCAAGAAGTGCCAGATGTTGGACTGTTCGAAAATTACAGCAGAGGCCGAGGGACAAATAAGCAAAGCCAACCTCAAAGTTCAAGGTATGTCCATTTAATGAAAAGAGAATATATGGTGTATTACCAGAGTTGTGGTGTATTAACCTTTATTTCTGTCTCTCCACATTATGTTCAGAGGCTCAGGTCATGTTTACTAAGAAAATGGAGGCCGTCATGGCAGAAGAGTTTGGCGACGCCACATTGGAGACAGAGATCAGCATTGAGACGGGAGAGGTCCAGTGGATGAGGCAAGGGGTGGTCATCCAGCCCGGTCCCCGACACACGCTAACACAGAACGGCTGTAAACGCATTCTGACCATCCAAAACCTGACGCTGTCAGATCGGGGAACCTATCGCTGTGAGACTCTGCATGACCGGACACAGGTCAAGCTCAATGTAGAACGTAAGTGGTCCGATGGGGTGTGGATGATATGTTACCAGACATGAATGGTGAAATTTTGAGGGTTTACTGTAACTCATACACTTTCATATTTTCAAATACTTTCTAATTTGTGGAGGACCATAAAATGATTATTTAGGAGTCAGTGTAGTGTACCACTTTGTGACTGGCATCTCATCTGTCAGTTCTGGGAAACTAAAGAACAGTACATATTTGACGTGTTTTCACAGTGCAAAAAGATACTAAAAATAGCAGAGCCTAGATCTGTATGTGTGAAAAGCTTTTTGAAACACAGCCATGCTAAAACAGTGCACTGAATGACACTGTGACAATGGACCATGGAGCTCCTGTACGTGTTGGTTTTGTCATCCGATAAACTGAGCTGGGTCTATATTTGAACCACCTTTCGTTGTCCTTGAAACACTGTTTTCAATGAACAGTGAAAGCATTAGCCATACCTTAAAGAAATGTGATTATATTTAAAATGCAATTATGAGATTCAATGTACAATGTTGCTAAACAATGCTGCAGATTTTTTATATTTTTCCTAGGATTTAGGACATCTTTAATCCTGATAGCATTCCTGAGAATAAGTATAATATTGGATTTATTTAAAGACACTCCTCTTCCTCTCCTCCATCTCTTCTGTTCCAGCCCGTAAAATCTCCATCCGTAAAGGCCTAACTGACCAAGAAACCTTTGAACGAGAGACTGCCTCCTTCGAGGTGGAGCTCTCCCACACAGATGTAGAGGGAATTTGGCAGAAAGACGGCATCCGGGTGAAACCGAACAACCAGTGGCGGGTGAGCACCAATGGGCGAATCCACGGCCTCACCCTGTCCAACCTCACCCTGGAGGACACAGGCACTATCGTCTTCTCAGGTGAAGGGGTGCGCACCACTGCCAGGCTCACTATCAAAGGTAAATACTGGCCTGTGGAGCTCTGTGGGTGCAGTGTGGCATGGAAAAAGGACACCATTATTAAGTGTTAATAGTTTTGGGATTTTGCATTGTAAAACTATTTAAATCATAGAGGTAAGGGAAATTGTGGTGGTTCAATCATAATGGGATTAAATCTTTATTAATTTTGCTGTGGACCAACTGGAAACCAAATAGAGTGAGGGAGTATGGACAGAGAATTATAACCCTATGAGGTTATTATATAATATCATAGGGTTATATTATATAATAATAGGTTATTATTGTTACTGTTATATTTTTTATTCATTAGGTTGTTGATTTGCTGGTTCATAGACTTGATTTGTTAAATGAACAGAGACACCGGTGACTATCCTGAGAGCTCTAACTGATGTCCGTGTGGAGGAGGAATTTCCTGCCACTCTGGAATGTGAATTCTCCAGACAAATCATTGAAGTCAAGTGGCTTAAGGTAAAAACAAACAAATAAATGCTCTCATGGAGATTTGATGGCAACAGACTTGAGGCTCATGAGAAATACCTTTCTCTCTTTTTGCTTCTCTGAATCAGAATGGGAAGGAGCTGAAGCCAGGACAGAACTGTCGGATCTACTCCATGGGCCGGAAGCGGTTCTGTCAGATCATGCAGTGCTCCTTGGCTGACACCGGCACCTACACATGTGACACAGGGGAAATCAACACTTCCTGTTCACTGGAGGTTTTTGGTAAGTGTATGAATATAAAAAAAAACAATTTTAAACAGTTAAAAGCTAAAAAATGTAGATTTATGCTGACATTTATTGATATATAGTATGATGTGTGAGCGAAACAAACAATGTGTTGACATCCTTCTAGTGGTTTATTTTAACTACCCTAGTGTGTCAACTTCAAAGAAATCTTTTTATATTTCTGTTATTTTGTTTCTTTACTAACCTCACAGAGCATACGTTGGAGATAGTGCAGGATCTGGAGGATCTTTACATTCAGGAGGACCAGAATGCTGTTTTCATGTGTGAGGTTTCCCGGGAGGACGTTACAGGGGAGTGGTACAAAGACAGCCACAAGATCCGGCCCACTAGCACCATCAAGATCCGCACTGAAGGTAAAAAAAAGAAGGGGTTGATTATTGATGAGCAACTCAGTGATTTTATTGCGAGTGGAGTTTTCACATTTGTTGTTTATTCATTCACAATGCAGAATAATAGCATGTGGAAACATTTCAGTGTGCAAGCTCGGTGATTGTCACCCCAACCTCTTTTAAATAAACAGGTGAAATCAGTTAATTGAAGATGACAGTACTAAGTTAGTGATATCAGTGTGTAGGAGGACATCTGGTGGTCGTAAAGCGAATAGCAAGAGCTAGAAAAGGAGCATAGAGCAAAGATGTACACTGTACAGATGGGTGAAAAATTGAAGGAAAACCACCACCAGAATTTAGATTTACTTCAGTGTGGATCGATTCTATAAGTCTGTTGTTGTTCTCCTTCAGGGACCAAACACTTTCTACTGATGTGTAATGTCAGAGCTGAAGATGCTGGGGAAATCCGCTTTGTAGCCAGGGATGTTGAATCTACTGCTTACCTGGAGGTGGAAGGTAAGGTCCATTTTTTATTTTAATCTTGCTTCTTTTTTTGGTATTTTATCAGCTTAAAAATGTTCCTACCAAATTTCAAAAATCCTTCCTTTCACTTCAGAGCTCCCTGTTTCCATTGTGAAACCCCTGCGAGATCGAACGGCCCTGGAGAAACACCGCGTGATCCTCGAATGCACCGTTTCCTCGCCCCGCTGCAGTGCCACCTGGTACAAGGGCAAAGAGGAGCTGGTCCCTTCAGATCGAGTGGAGATCCTGGCCGATGGCTGCTCCCTGAAACTGGTGATCCAGCAGGTGGCCGTGGAGGATGAGGGCACCTACAGCATCGAGGTTGGGGAGCACACGTCCAAAGCCAAGCTGATGGTGGAAGGTCAGTTGGGTGGAGAGCTGAACAAATGTCCTTGAAGGTGCCACAAATGAATTAACTTTACTGCTCCAGCTTGGGTTTTTAGCAATCTAATAAGATACAAAAATCCCACATACCATGATAACTCTTCTTTCCCTCTTTGCCACTGCAGCCCAAGCTCTTGTAATGGTCAAAGAGCTCGAGGATGTGGAGGTAACTGAGCCCGAGCCGGCATCTTTCCAGTGTGAGGTGTCTGTCGCCATCAACAAGCCTCCCGTTTGGACTCTGAACGGAGAGACCCTTCAGCCGGGCCCGTCTGCACGGATGGAAAACCACGAGACGGTCCACAAACTCACCCTGAAGAACACCAGCGTGGACATGAGCGGGGTGGTGAAGTTTACCATGGGAAAGGCTAAGAGCAGTGCCACGCTCAGTGTTAAGTAGAGGAAAAAGGGAGGAAAAGCAAGTGACTCTGAGAGGAAGGAAGAAACTGACTGCAAAAATGGGAATTGCTCACGACACCTAAAACTTTTCAACATCCAATTTGTCCTGTTTGGATGGCCTGCACTTCCCCTTTTCTGAGTTTATTTCAAATTAAGGGTACTCAGTGAAATTAGACTAAGCATTTTAAAGGTCCAGTGTGTAACATTTAGGAGGATATATTGGCAGAGATTGAATATAATATTCATAGGTATGTTTCCATTAGTGTATAATCACTTGAAAATAAGAATTGTGGAGCTGTTTTCATCTTCAGAGGGAGCGGGTCCTCTTCTATGAAGTCCGGCATCTTGAATCCCCATGTTTCTACAGTAGCCCAGAGTGGACAAATCAAATAATAGCTCTAGATAGGGCCTTTTGAGGTTATTATATAATATTATTGTATTTTGTGAGTTTCACTGCCAGCACAGTTTGTCTTACTTGGAATGGGAGGGTGGGATGAGGACTTTACAATCAGCAGATGCCACTAAAAATCCTACACACTGGACCTTTGAACTTTAAGGGTGTTTTACTTCAATCAAGGTATTTTTTATTTTTTATTTTACAGGATAGATTATATTTATATGCCTGATTAAGATTTCTAATTGACTTTACATCCTTGTATGTAGCTGTGGTTAATCACATGGCGTCAAATACATGTTTTCTCCCTGAAAATGCACTGGCTGACAATTTTGTAATACATCAAAGCTAAATAAACTGTGAGGTACATAATCACAGCACTCAAAACACTAATCAGCGACTGTTTTGATAATAAATGAATCCCTTTATTATTTTTTTAAGTAAAAAAACGAAATATTGTCTAGTTGCAAGGATATGCTGTCTTACATCTTTATAAACAGAACATACTGAGGCTCAGGACTGTTGAATAATAATAATAATGTTAGATGCAGTCCTTTCATACTCTTATTTTGTTGATATTAAAACTTTTCCTTATCTCTGATGGACTGGTTTGTTTATGGCATGTTAATGTAATCATCAATAAGTGCAATAAATGTTAATATGTTACATCTTTAGACAGCAGTACAGCTCTTTCAGTGCAGGATTGCTCCGTGTGAGGAATGATACAACGTTTAAAAGTAGATTAATTAATTAATATATAGTTTAAACACTGGTTACAATCGTTCATACTGCGCAGCACCAAACGGCACATAAAGTTACAGCTCGTTAGCTTCAGTTTATACTCCTATTACCGTAATACATGCGAGAAGCTCATTTTAAACCAGAACTTACCCGCTTTAAGAGACACATATTTGCCCTCAGGTGTTGTTGGAGCTAAAATGAGGAGTAAATACTGCCCTTACATTCCTCTAGGGGACCAGAGGGTCCACATGAATGCTAATGTTGTTCCGCGTATGCTGGTTGTTTAGCTAGGCAACTGTCTACCTGGCAGACCGCAGCGCCGCGAGTTCGAGTCCAGCCCGTGGCCCTTTTTCTGTTTCCTGTTTTCTTTTTTAAAAATAAAGTTTTAAAAAAGCCCTAAAATTATATTTAAAATTTTTTTCTGACAATGTTATGTTTATATAGTTTGCTGCCCCCATTTGGCCCCACAAAATTTGGTAGTATTTCTGAAATGGAGGTACGAGGACCCCTAGGGATACTTTGGAGTACTGCATGTGTTACTTGATACGTAAATCTTAAAATAATTAAATTAAAGCCAATGTTTCTCACTACATTTTAGATGCAAATTATCAAAAAGATGCAGGTAAATGCAACAACAATGCCATCTTAGTGTTACTGCATCTTAATGAATGTAATTAACTGGAATAAGGTTAAGTTTGAGGAAGAGAATGGACCTTTATTATACATACTGTTAATGCAATAGACCGTTATCACTATTTCATGTCAAAATGGCTTCTGTTAAATTAGTAGAATATGCATTAAATAATTCCACGTTTCTAGGAAGAAGAAATGCTCAACAAAACAGCACTTGGACCATCTTTCATTTAGCATTTATGGGGGAAAAAATGGCATTATTACATAGAGTCCATATATAATTTGGTATGATAAAACAAAAGGTTGAAAAATTAGGTTACATCTATTCAATCATGAGTACAGTAACATGAATATTCCATATATTAATGAAAATTTGTTTGCTTTATTACTGCAAAACAAAATATACATATCTACTGAATGTGTAAGAAGTACAGTATCAGTGAATGGGCCCCTGTAGTGACACAACACTTGTTTTACATGTAATCAAAGGACTGAACGTTCCTATAAATACTCCTGTTTGCCAATGAATTAAACAAAAAAAAAAAAGGAAGTTATCAGCACTGAAGCTAAATTGAGACATGTGATGATGGCTTACACGAATCAAACGTCAATATAATTACCCTGTTATGTGCCTACAACAGTAAGATACTATCCTTTTTAGTCATTTGCTGGTGTTTCTGATCCATATATCACCTATTAATATATGAGGTAACAACCAGGTCTTGCATGAAAACAGCAAAAACAAACCAAATATTGTATGAAAAGGACCACCCCTGGGCAAAATAAAACAAAAAAACAGGAATTATTTAGAAAAGAAACAGGCTAATTTGATTGACAATAATTTGTTAAACATAGAAAAATAATATAGTAGCTCTTAATGGTGTGGATTTAATCATCACGCCTAGGTAAAGTCACATCACAAGCCTGCTATGGAGGCTCTTAGTCAAATCCACTGTTTCATTCATCAGTGTCAACACATGGTATTGTCAACGCATATAAGGGAGTTAACAAGAGTCTGACATGACCCGAGAAAAACTGAGCAACTAACATCACCACGTAGCGCTAAAGGAAAACAAACAGATTCAACGTGGAAGACCCCCAGATGTGGTCGATGAGATTTTAAAAAGGAAAATTCCACCCTCAAATCATCTCACACTGCAATGACAACCACGCAAAAGAAAAGAAAAAAACGCATAACCTGACATTCACTGTTCATGTTTTAGATCTATTATACTCCATTGTAGCTGCACTGGAATTCACCATTACGTCACGTGAATGGAACAAAATAAGACCGTCCAGCCAAATAACAGAAAAAGACCCAGAGGTGGAAGATAAATCACTAATTGCTGGTTATTAACAGTGTTTCAGGGTGGATTTCTCTTTTAAATCTGGACTCAATTAAACCACTTTTTTGTTTTCAAAGGTGTGCCTCACACATCCTCATGGCAGCTCCCCCCTTCCCTCGGCACACGTTTTATTACAAAGTCCTGAAATTGTTTCCAGCCTATGTGTACCGCTTAGGAAAAAAAAAAAAAAAAAAAGTAAAGAAAACATTGTACTTTGAACCAAACTGTAACTTTTTTTTTTTTTTTTTTCATACAACCATTCAAATACAGTCTGTAAATGCTGTGAGAAATTCAAGTTTTGTGTGTGGCTTTAAATACAAAGAACTGAACCAATCAGACACATTAACAATGACTGATTTCAAATAAGTCGATCCTGGTCCTCTTTTGTCTCTGGACTCAACTGTTCATGACATCTATTGACACACAGGTGCAGATACTTTGCATTATGGCTGTCCATGAATCTTTAAAACCACCTTTGGAAATCCTCCTCCGATAAACATAGCAGCTGCTCTTTCAGCGTCATGTGCAGATGGATTGATATTCATAGTAGTGTCAGGTTTTTAGGAAAAATACTGCAGTCATCATCTGTTCCAGTGCTGACAGGACTTGGCTTATTTAATAAGGCTCATTGGTTTTGGTATATACCAATTTATACTGAATAGATCAATTTCTTTATATGGATTAAAGTGGTTTCCCCACTGAATTAAGTTCCCACAGAGATCAAAAATGTGTGCTTCCTGCTGCAGAATATTATAAATATTGTTATTAGTGAATTTAACAACTCCTGATTATAACTGACATTAGAAACCCACTTACAGTTTTGAAGAAGAAACCTTTTCTGATCAGATTCATCCATAACACTGTCATGATTATTTAAAAATACCTGATTACATTGCTCTAAAAACACTAAAATGACACACCCAAGGATCACATGCTTCTGACTGCAGACAAATAGTGTGATAACTGACGAAATGAGGGCAGGTGACAAACGTTAGTCCAAAGACATCTACAGTACGTATACACCTTCTTCTTTCTCAATGACAACGACTGATCAAGTTTATTTGTTTCCAAAGAATTCCTTTCCACTTTGATTCCCGCTTACCAAATCCTGCATCTGTTGCAGGATCGGACCGCTAAATCCATGAGAGAAGTCTATGTCCAGTACCCGGTCTGTGTTCAGAGGATTCGTGGCTACAGACTTCTGCTTTGTTAACTCTACTGCAGGGTCAGTGACACCACAGAAATGTCCTTAAAAACATTCATCCATTCATTCACTCAACAACAGCTGGTTCATGGTAGGCTGATGGGGAGGAAGTTACAAGGAAAATTTCAGGCAGTTCTCTGTTTGAGCACGTTGTGGCATCCCTGGCGCCGTCGAAGTCACTGAAGACTCCCGAACGTGGTCTCGGTTTGATACTGGGAAGGTGAAGGCTCTGTTAGCCGTGGAGCAGTCTGTGTTCTGGTGGGCAGTGATAGCTGGAGCTGGTGCTGGAGCCGGTGCTGGTGTGTGCATTTCCGTTGTTGTTTGCCGTTTTTTTTTCGGAGCTGAGATGAAAAGTCCAACGCTGTTAGCTTGCGGCCCCTTGGTGCTTGAGGACTGTGTAGACGTTGTCCACTTTGCTCAGCCTCTCGAAGAAGGGGATGAGGTCCAGCAGCTCGGTGTCGGACATGTCGTCGAACCACGAGGCCACAGGCACCTGGACGCAAACGCATATTATCAGCAACCGGATCATTTCTCACGTTTTTTTTTTGTTTTTTTGGACATTGTGGATCACGGTGCACAATTTTGTTGTTTAAATCAACACTAAAAAGTAATCACTGAGTCAGATTTCTGCAAGAATTAATACTAAAATAACTAAGACTGCACCTCAAACTTAGATTTTATGTTACAGATATTAACATGTTACTTGGTCACAACTAGATGGATATGTTTTCCTATATTTTATCCAACAAAACAAAAAAAAGACAAAGCAACCTGACCCTTTTGTAGGACATGACCTAGAATGGATCAGAGGGGCTTAATACTGGCATGTGTGCTTTAAATTCAAGTTTATACTTAAAATGCAGTTTAGAAAAGATGCAAAATGAGATTTCTCGTGGGCTAACTCTTCGCCTTCAACAGCTTTTTTTGTTTTAATAGTTAGTTTGCTTTAAGGCTACAGCAACATGGCGAAACCAGAAAAGTCCAGTTGATGCATTTTTCTGTGCTACAGTTGTTAATGTCAAGGACTTTATTAGGCAAGTGAATAATTCCACAACCCACACACATCACTGTCACCGTCATGACTCAGTGGTCCGAGGATACTCACTGCGTTGTCTGGGTGGAAGACGTAGGAGGCAGGGGAGTTGTCCACAATGATGACCTTGTTCAGGTCGCGACCCAGGCGGCTCAGGTCCTTGACGTAATTACCTCGGTGGAAGACGCAGGACTCCCGGAACAGGCGGCAGCGGAAAGCGCCCCACTTGTCCAAGAGATCGGAGACGGGGTCTGCATACTGCAGCCGTAACAAAGATGGAAATGAATGGAGGGATTACAGCAATTCTTTAAGCCCATTCTAAGCCCTTTTCACACACATAAGAGCACCCTTTTCTGCTAAAAAAAAATGTGTTTCAATGAACTGTTACCAAACAGAATAGATAACATGTACGTAACATAAATAGTAAACATGAGTATTAAGTAAAAATATATATACATATTCGCAATCACTTATAAAGGAAGTCAGCAGTTTTAGGTTATGGTGCTGTGCAGATTTGTAGATACATTTTCTACTTGAAGCTGAAATAAATGATTTGACGGGCCATTTGGTGAAAGCTGAATAAATGAAACCCCAAAATGTTCAATATTAATAAAATAAAAAATAAACAATCAGAATAAATTGTGTAAAATATTTAAACAAACTAACAATTTAAGAAAAAGTCATTTTCATCTCATTACAGACATTTTATTTGTGAGTCTGATTTTATTTCATTATTGCATTTTTAGATTTAACACTTGTATTTCGTACCAATTATTATTTCATAATGTCACTTTTCATGAGTGGCGTTGTCACCGCCCACTTACCTTACAGCCAATCACGTGCTCCCTGTCTCTCTTAAACTGGCGAGATTAACAACTGACACCAAATGTATTTCACCTCTTGCTCTAAGACATTGCTGTTGCTCTAGGGTTTCCTTTTTTGTTCTACTGTAATGTCACACCCTCATGCTGCAATCTGTTGTCCCAGTGGTTCTTTTTCAAACGTTCTACCTCTGGTTATTCAAAATGTGAAAATGTCAACTTCATCACTGGCTGCTGCAACAACACAATCTCCCTCTTTATTACTCAAAGTTACTACTTCTTGTGCAGTTGCTACACAACAAAAATTAAATGTAAAGTATAAAAACAGTAATTTACAATCCTCACCTTGGCTAAACTGGCTGTGAACAGGACACACTCAAACAGTTCTCCCATTCTCTTCAGGAACTCATCGACATGGGGCCGCTTCAGGACATACACCTGGAATATGCAGGGATTTTAAAACCTTGTTCGTACACAGCATACATTTCAATTATAAAACATGTTTCTACAAACCTCAAGAGCCTGAGGAACTATGACACTATCTTTTGGTGTGTGATCTTATCTGTGCAAATGATGACTGGACAGTTTGAAGGTTTACTTTGTGGGATGTAGTTGTACATATGGGTGAAAGCATTGCACACATTACAGGCATTCGAGATACTCATATCAATATCGGAAATATACATAAATAAATATACATTTTCCAGGACTCCTTTTTTTCTCCTCCATTTTTTTCTTCTTCCTGTGGTGTTGGCGGCTGAGGGCAGCGTTCCTGAACCAAGTCACCCAGAATAGGCTGAGCTTGTCTGAACAAACCTATCCTGGATTACTTGAATCAGGCCCAGACCCACGGTATGTCATCCATTTCCAAGCAGCCTCCTTCAAATCCCTTAAACCCCCGACAGCACCTACTACACTCAAACAACCGCAAGGACGGTGAGGCGGCGTGTCATGTTAGAGGATGACAGACGACAACAAGTTATGAACATGTTTGCTGAGGTTGTTGAGCGATGCCACCATTACCTGGTGTATTGTTCCATCTATTTCCACAGGAATGATGAAATCTGCATTGTTCACAGGCTGTTGGAATGACAAAAAAAAAGTTGATTTTAACAAACCGGATAAGGATATTTCCAGAAGATTTAAGTTTTTTTCTATTGCAGGCATGACTGAACAACAACATCAAGTAACAAGAACGTTTACAACAAGGGATGGAGACGCTGCAGGCCTTACCATATAAAATATGACTGGTATTATTGTAGGACAGATGCAGGTAGGGACAAACAGTCTGCAGTGTGTGTACAGGGAGGACTGACTGTGTTTATTTGGGTTAAGAACCAGCTAGTTTGGGTTTGGTATTTGGCAGCAATGACAGAAATGTCAATGTCAAAGCCAACAACAACTAGATGGGGGGAAATGTAGACCTTAGAGAGTGTTTTTTTACTATTAAACATAACTATTTCATGATGTAATGTGATCACATGGGACAACTATGTGTTTTAAAGCGCTTTTGTTCGGGAAAAAAAATCTTAAAGTCCTTGCGTCATCTTGGAAATTTAAGAACAGACTTGCACATAGCTGATTGTAACTAATGCAACAATGTTTTTCTTCCCGCTTCTTACCTTAAAAGAGCTGTGAACTAATGTCTCATCCAGATCTATAACCACGCAGATCTTTCCAGAGTCTTTTGACTTCACTGGAGGCAGCAGTGGCTTCACCTGGATTTGAAAATACCACAAATGTAATATTTAAGAGATGACAAAGCTGAGAGAAATTAGATCTAAAAAGCAGCTGAAATTTAAAAGAAAGACCTATTTCACGCAGATTTGAGCTTTCCACAGTCGACAAAACAGGACAAAAACGCAACCTGTGAGACAAAGGTAAACACACCTTGGAGACAGTTCCGTTCTCCTCCACCAGCAGAGGGGCGTTGTTGTTGACTGGTGGGGGTTCAGGCTGGTCCCGACACAGGCAGCAGAAGAGGCTGGAGAAGAAGCCTCTGCTCCTGGGCTTCTTGGAGGACAGAGAGGGGGAAGAACCTACAGAGGAAATAGGAGGAGGTCACCGAGCTGGTTTACAATAACTTTGAATGATCCACTACCTGAACAACATCCGTCCCGAACCCCAAAATATTCGGTTTTCTATCACATATGACAAAGAAACAGCAAATATAGCATACTTAAGGAGCCAGAAATGACTGAAATGACTATTAAAATAACTTTCTGATGATCAACCAGTTGATATTTTTGCTTTCGTCACCGCATGCGATATTATTTTAGAGCTGACCAACTTAATCAATCATATAAGTTATTAAATTAAGCAAAAACGTCAAACATTCTGACTATTTTCAGTTTTCTTTCATTATAAACTGAATATCTTTAAGTTTTAGACTGTTGGACCTTTGAAGACACGCCTTGGGAATTTGGGAAACCGCAATGAGCATCAACCTATTCATTACAGCACTGTAAACAAGTAATCAAGTTAAAAAAAAAAAATCCTTGGTTCAAACTTATTTCATTTCAATGAATTACCCATTTGATTTAGTTGTTTTTAATGAGCAGTTCAACCCTCAAAGATTATACTATCAGCAGAAAACCCTTTAAACTGAATTCAAATAAACTTTGTACAACAAAATGTGAAAAACCTAACAATGAGCAGCTTATTGAGATTTCAGTTTGGTTTTTTTTAAAAAGAAGAAACATTAAAGCCTCCACAAGGAACTTTCATTTTGTGTTGATTCTGGCGGCCCCTGTGGACAAAACCGGTACTGCATCCACCTCCTTGTTTTGTCTTTAATCATGGAAATCCAAACTGAATCCGACGATGGTTCATTTATAAAGGTCATACAGAGGTGTCAGTATTAAATTGACTGTTTTCATAAGCCAGTTAAAAACTCCTAGTAGTAAGTCGAAACTCTTTTAAACTGTATTTTAGGGATAATTCTTCCACATGGCCACCAAACTAATGGCTCCATTCTTGTGTCAGCGAGTGTGTGAAAACAGTAAACCCCCCCCAAAAAAAACAAAAAAAAGTACATCCAGCAGCTTTCTTTCCTCATACTTTTGTCATGTGCACAAACCCTCCTGGAGACACACGTCCCTGCCAGAAGCTGTTGCGTAAGCGCCCCTCTGATGTCAGCAGCAATCAGTCTCAACCACAACCAATGAACACCGAGCACTAAGCACTATAAGGGCATCATAAGCACATCATGAGTTTATTGTGGACCGCTGCCAATCAGAGCAGGGCAGATGTCAGACAATCATTCATAAATACTGATTTAGAGAGCGTAATGCATGTTAACACTGCATATTCTTGTCTTTTATGTATGCCTTTATCCATTGTATTTGTTTTTATGCATTATGACATTAAAGTCAGCCATATTTGCATGTAATATAACCACAACATCACCAATAAGGCAGACAGCAGTTAACAGGGAAGGAAAATGGCCCATTTTAAAACACTAATGTTTAACAAAATAAAAGTAAACCATTAACAACAATTTAAAACAATAAAATGCTATAAAAATACATGGATACGGGCAACACAAGTGAATCCGCATGGTATGAAAGCTGTAACCTCAATGGTATGCAACCAAACTGCTCAAACAGTAACAGACATTTACTTCAGCCTCAGTAGAGCAACAACGTGGCCTAATCAACATTTTAAATGGAATTAAAAAGGAAGACGATTTGTGGTACAGTTTGCAAACAACAACCGCTAACACCTTCGAAAAGCAGCTTTTAAAAGATATCTGTGTGAAACAAGTTAGACCCAAACACATTTTTAGGCAACATAACCAAAGCTCCGGCTGATTCCTGCCAAACTGACGATTAACGAGAAGAACTTGGCGAATGACGTAGGAGGGGTTTTAGTCTCGCACCCTTATCTATCAATCACGGTATGTGAGAGGAGGAACTGTTCACCTGTGCAGCTCAACAGGTACACAGCTCATTCCTTACAGTGTTTGCTTGTGCTGTTTTACATCTTTTTTTTCCCGGCCTCTTTATGCACCACTCTCACTCTCTCTCTCTCTCTCTCTCTCTGTCTGTCCGGACGTGACTGTGTTACCAACACACAAGCCTCTGTTGTGCATCTCTCACGCCTCTTTCATTCCCTCTCTGCCGTTCCCTCCTACTGCATTTGTGGATTCAAACCCCGTCTGACCCTCCGCTGGCCTCTGCCACGCTCGGGCCAAAACAGGAAGAGGAAACAGACGGGTATCAGTGGAGGAAGCTGCTTGCCATCGGTGTTTTAACGTAGCAGGAGAAGGCTTGTGACGCTGTTATCCGTGCAGGTTCTTCTTCACACGGAGTCCATTTCACATTAAATCAGGTTTTGGAAACCGGCAGGATTTCAATTTATTCATGTATTTGAGTGTTATCTCCCATTTTTATGCTATTATAAATTCAAACAGAGATTCTATTGTTGGTTTTTCTTACCAAATAATGCTAATTTGTGCCAGATAACGCAGCCTCATACCAACAAGACTCTGACCTTAAGCAATGAGAGAGGGGACTTAAGGTATTTAATAAAGCCAAAGTAAACCATTTAATGGCTCTTTATCTGCCCCTTGTGTCCTTATTCATTACGCTCTTCACTCCTTTGTTTCCTTTTTCACTCCCTTCTGCCCACACTCCCTTCCTTATTTGCTCACTCATGAATATTCATCTCTTTTATCGCACGCCTTTCACCAGGAAAAATGACTAACTGGGTGCTGACCACTAGAAACCAGAGAGGGTGTTAATTCATAAAAAGGAGTTACTGTGAAGATGACAAGGAAGGAGCTAATTCATGAAGTGGAGTGGAACGTACCGCAGGCTGTCTGCTGAGGAAATATCCCCTGACTGCTGGGCAAACCTGAATCATCAAAAAAAAGGGACAATCCTTGTTGCCCTGTCACCGTAATAAATGTGTTTTATGATACAAAAAGGAGCGATTTTCTCTTCAAAAGTATGCATTGATTTTACAGCCCCATCCAGTGAGTTATTTCCAAGCATTTTGTTCAGGCAATTGGTTTCTGCAGGTCACATGCACTGAAAAGAGTGCCACAGAAACATTAAATCATCCACATTTGGCTCACAGATAGGTTAAAGGAGAGATTTGTCTGCATTTTTTATTCAATTATTCATTTATTGCGACAATTTACTATCAGCAAGACAGAAAATCCTCACTTCGTTAAAGCTGGAACCAGACAACATTTGGCATTTTTGCTTGAAAAATGAATTAATCAAAAATGTTCATTTTCTGTCAATTTTCAAAAGATCGAATAAAAACAGTCATACTGTGTATCTATCTAGATCTATTTCAAGTTTCTTCTTCTTTTGACTCACACATACACGCGGGCCACAGTAGATTTGATTACATTTAACAGTGAAAGACACTGTACCCATCTTCAGCCTTAGAGTAAGTTCTGGGGCATCAAATCGCTCCAAACTGCTCTCCAACCATTTTAAACACATGTGCAAATGCTACAAAGAAATGGTATATTGCTCAAATTCAACAAATAAAAAGCCTCATAAATATACTGTTACTTAAGAAGTAGCATGTAATTTTGCAGTATTTTAAGTTGTGGTGTTAAACTGCCCGCCAACGCATCTGGCTTCACACAAAGATGAAACAATCGTCTGATGTGTGCTGCTGTGTAAAGTCTCTGGAGAGTCTAAAGAAGACGAGAACATATCTATAAGCCGCTATTGATTGTGACAATGACTCAAAACAATGTAGGATAAGGCATGCAGCCTTAAAATCAAATGCACAAGCAACCGCAGGATGAGAAACACCATCAGTTGAATTATAGTATAATCCTCGTGCTGCTGGCCTTAGGTAATCATGACTTGAACTCTTTGTTGTCACATCACAGAGACAAACTTCAGTCAGTCAAATTATAAATACCAGAAGATTAAACGCAGTTCCAACAACTTCCTAGACATCACCTGTGAGTTAGGGAGAAATGCCTCCCTCGACGTGTTATCTCCTGTCCCATAACCTGCTGACAAGGAATGATTCAAATGCCGCTGTATGACTGCATGACAACAATGTGGAATAACTCACAATCCAAGCCTTATCAGATCGTTTTTTATCAGCTCAGGATCCATTTAAAGTCCTGACTGTCAGCGGTTTCCTGTAATCGACGCTTCCACTCTCATTGAGTCACATCCTAAATCTGGTCCCTATCTGTGGCTTCAGTGACACCTGATATATGGAAACCAGTTTCATCAATGCAGGAAGGGCTTGAACCAAGAGTGTCAGATGCTGGTACTGACTGAGCTGCCAATATTTTTGCCTAACTTAGGGATTGAAACAGCTGTTAAGCTTTTCATGTGACAATAAAGGTCTCCAATGAAAACACAGAGACTAATGAAGCCTTTTAGATCGGCTGGTGGTGTTACAGAGGTACCGATAAATCAAATGTGCAACGAACGAACAGCTTCATGCAGATTTACAGTTTGCGATGGAGGAGGAACCTACTGATCGGTCCTGATATTTATAAGATGCAGATATCCGCCTGTTTGACTGACTAATCCGATATATGAGCAAGCACCAGCGCGGTTGGAGGCCGGGTTACAGACGCTACAACGCCATAATTAGTGGGAAATTATGAACTGACCTGACCGCAAACAGAACTGTGCAACTTTTTTTTTTTTTTAAATAGATAAGTGCAAAAATCCAGCCTAAGAGCACAAGGAGCGGCATCCTGAGGGTCTCTACAGGTCCAGTTCAGGGTTTTTTCCCCCCACCTTTTCTGACCTTTGACCCCATTTTTAGGTCCCAGAATTCATAATCTCGCAGCGCAGTCAGAGTCGTAGTCACATGTTCAATGGACAGTAGCTTATTTATATAAAAAAATGAACAGTCAGAATCAGTCGTAGTGTTAAGAAACACCTTTTTCAGTGCTGACCTCAAAGTTCAGAAACACTACATCAGAGATACCCCTGCATGAGAACCACAGAGCTGTTATCAGACCTTCAGCTGACAGTATTTGTCTCGCTCAGATAGTTTTACACCCATTTAGTCAACAGCGTGTCTGTTTTCAGTGGGGAACTACCAAAAACAACCCTGTACGGATCCTCCAAATGCAACCTGAAACTGCAGCGAAACTGAAACTAAGAAAAGTTTTCTTTTGATTTGACGAAGCGAACAAATGATGGGTTTCCTAACGTCACAATCAATTTAGGCGGGACACACAGTAAACATGTTGTTGACGGGCAGCTGTGAGTTCATACGTTCTCAATGTGTGGGGACAGCGTTATGTAATAGACAGGCTACTGCACATTTACAAAGGAGGCCACTGCTTGACAAGTCATCCTTTAAAAGTCAAAGTGTGCACGGGTTTAACTGCAGCTCCAGTTTAAATAGCAGTGTTGTTTACAATAAATGTGACAGTCTGCTGGCCGGAAAGTGACACAAGACATAAAAAATGTGAGAGGGCAGCATTTTCTCAGGGATGATGACCGACAGGCCACCTGATTATTCAGTAACCTGCGCTTACACTCTGCGTGGTATCTCACTGATTTGTGTACAGTAACCCATGTCAGCAAGCAGAGGACTGATAAAAGTAGTGCAGCATGGTGGAAATGAGAATTTCACAGGCCGTTCATCTAGTTAAGAGGGAAACAGAGCAGCATTGTAATAAGATAAAGAGCTCATGACAGCAAGTGTTCAGGACACTTATTGAAGAAAAAGTACTAAAACCAGACTGTACAAATACTCCACTACAAGTAACAGTCCTGGTTAAATGGACTTCATCATGCACTAATGTAAAAGCAGGATTTCACTGTTGTAGTTGGAGCTAATTTGTAAGCGTTTCACATAAGACTGCAGCTAATGATTGTTTCCATTATGGATTTAACCTGCTTGTTATTTTCTCCATTAAATCAGTTCATTGTTTGGTTTGTAAAATAAATAAATAATAAATAAATAGGCTAAATAAATCAGAAAATAGTGAGAGATGTTGTCACAATTACCCAGAGGTCAAAGTGACACCTTCTATTTATAACAAAGCATCAGACTTAATAAGCTCCTTGCAGTTGTTGTATCATTTAAACAAACTTTAAGTTGTAATTCTCTCTATAAGGTAGAAAGTTTCTTACAGTGGAATAAAGCACCTCATACTTTATACTATATTCTTGAGTGTACTTAGTCTATAAGGCTGATATGAAAGCATTAAAACCACCTTAATCAAACATTTTTACGTCACTTCCTTTTACTTTCATCACAGGCCAAAGGGCCGCAGCCATACTCTGGAGCTCAGTGACACTTTGAATGTAACAGTGTTATTGATAAGTGTGGAGCAGACTGCAGTGTGTTGTTACACTGAATGCAGATTAATGAGCTCAGGATTGTTTACTCTCAAAACCCCCCGCACAACTTTATTTATGTTTTATTAATTTTGACATGAGTGCAGAATACAAATAAATAAACAAAAGATTTAAAAAAAATAAAAATAAAATAAAGCCACTTTACCCCTCTCTCCTGCGGCTTTATTGCCCTCTTCATCCCGGCTGACTTGGGTGATCACTGAAGACGGATTGTCCATCACATCCAGGTCTGGTCCAGAGTGCTGACCTCACACTTTAAAAGTTAAGAGACTGTTCGCTGAGTCGGTGCTGCGTTAAACCAAACCGGGAAACATCGCAACAAGTCGCCCCTACAGCTCGGCCATTACTCTCTTCGGATGTCGTCGTCCGCTCCCACCCCAACCCCACCTGCCGGAAAGTTTTTTAAAGTCCCGAAAAAGTTGCAAAAACATTTGTCGACGAGATGGCAACTTTGATTCAATATGGTGCTCAACTCCGCTCGCACTTTTTCAAGATACAAACATGGAGGTTTCAAGGCGTCCCATTTCACTTAAAGTGGCGCAGTGAGGGAATGGGCCGCGTACAACACTGCCTCTCCTGGCGTCTGCAGGTTTGACGATGGTCCCTTAAAAGTAGCCTCAAAACAAAAAAAGTTGTTCCAAAAACCGTACAGCTAACAGACTAGCTGCACCGGGATATGTTAGTGAAATATATATATTTATATTTTTTGTGGATACGTGCTACAAAAGTTGCGCGCGCCTCGCTTGAACGCGCCACCGTGATGTTCTATATGTAAAATGATCTTTTTATTCACGCGCCGCAGTCTGTCACTTTAGCTCCCCAGCTAGTCCTGCGACACTGAAGCGTATTAAACAGCAGCGTTGAAGTTTGTTACACCGTGTTTGCTACACACTGACGGCATTATAGTGTGTGTGTGTGTGTGTGTGTGTGTGTGTGTGTGTGTGTGTGTGTGTGTGTAGTGCTGCAGTGGTTGTGTAATGTCCGCTATTAGTAAACACTTGCAAAACAGCAAAACTTTTTTTGTTGAAGCGGCAAAGAAACGCCCAGTTTGGGTTCCCTTGAAACTGCTAGAGCCGGGGAGCGTCGCACAAATGTAGTGTGTGTGTACGCTGGCTTTCTACCCGCTGGTTGTTCATGACACAATGTTTTTATCTAAATTATTACTAAATCATAGTTTATAAATCAAAGTATTTTGCCTGGTAACTTATTGTACCGTATTCTTTTCTGTGATGGTGTGCTATTTGTTTGGTGTTAACCTCAGATGAAATGTTATTTCCAGGTGGTATTTTCACATGCTTTACCAGGAGTGAGTGATTTTATATAATATTTGTAAGATAAATTAAGTGCCTTTAGAAAGAAACAAGAAAAGAAAAAGCTTCTGCTCATTGCAATGTTGTCCAGGATTTAAATTTTATACAATACATATTAAATAGCAAAATATGTGACAGATTTATTTTGTGTTATGCAATTACCTGTGCAATATTCTATTTTATCTTAAATCACATCTGGATAAAAAAAACTGTATATAGTGTACATATAACTCTAAATCCATTTATTCCTTCATATCTTGTTTTTTTTATTTTATTGTTATTTAATGTGCATTTCTTTTTCTTTTTTCTTAACTCCTATGTTCTGTCTGGAGCTGCTGAAGCAGTGAATTTCCCCAGTGTGGGATCAATAAAGTCTCATCTTGTATTGTACTGCCACTACATATTTTTAAACAGCACTTAAGGATTCAGGAGACATTTGGAAACCCCGGGTGAAGCCCAAAATTGCACCCCACAAAGAGAGAAGGAACAAGTTTATTTCCCCAATTGTATCAATAGTTTATTACATACTACCTCATAAAAACATTTGCAACTTTTTCCACATATAAACACCGCAAATTGGTACATTTACAAATCTTCAACCGTCCAAATTGATACAAAAAAAGGAACACTGTGATCGATCAATACACAAGACGATCTATTATTACAAGGACTGCATGTGCTGTACTGTGTGTATGCATGTATGTAAGAATCTATATGCATCTGTCTGTTGTAAAGTCCAAATATCGTAGTCAAATTTTTGCTTTGTTCAAATAATTCATCAATTGTGAATTAGTAAGAATGGAGACACATTTACAAGATAAATATTTTGGATATTAATCCGATTTAGGCACTGACTGGATGATCATGATTTGAGGCAACCTGACCAACCGATGGGTAATACTGAGAAACCACAGCAATGTGTAACCAGTGTGTGTGACTTATCTACATTACGGACCGCTTTTCATAGTTTATTACAGTTAGAGTTCAGTTTTAACCACAGAACAAGAAGTTGTACCAAAAATTCCTAGCTCACCTCTAAAATAGTTCATTTTTACTGTGTGAATTTCAACACCAATCACAAAGACACTCCTTATTTTTATTTATATATGTATATTTTTTTGCCTCGATGCTAATTCAAACAGTGAATCAAAAATGCTTGCGCGCACACTCACACATGCAAATAAATTAACATGAAGAAAACAAAAAAAAGTAAACGCTTTCAAGAAAGAAAAATAAACAATATTTTTGGTTTTGGAGTTTTAAAATGTGTAAGTAAATGCAAAAATAAATTAGCAGCTTAAATCATGGTACATTCACGAGTTGTTTACTACTAAATTTAGTGACATAAACAAAAGTTGCGCAGTAGAAACGCTAATGATACACACGTTCCAGGCTGATCGTGCAGAGTGGAGACTGATGTTTATCTAAACCAAATATTAATGTCCAATTTCAGAATTCACAATGTGACTGAGAAAGTGTGCAATCAAAAGAAAAAACAAACAATACAAAGAACATCCTGTGTCCTTTATTTAACAGTTTATGAAAAGTCCTCAGCTTCGTCAATTCAATGAACAGGTCACAGCAGTCTGCGTCTCGTCCCCGTCTCCTCTTTGTGTTTTTGTTTCATCAAGTGTTGAATGTTGAAGTGTCACAAATTAACACGTGGACTCCTGTCTTTTCTTTGGACATTCAGCTGTATCCAGCCGTCTGCCCGTCCCCCTGTGCCTTAACCTGTGCCTCACAAGGCAGGCTGACATGTTTCATGCAGCGGTGGCTCTGCAAACTCATGTTTAGGTGCTGCGTTTTCACCGCCCTCTCACTTCGGGCTGGGGACATGCGGTGCAGTCCCAGACGCCGGGGACTGGGGTGAGCTCTGGTAGGTGCGCAGCAGCACCTTGTGCTTGGTGGCGGCCTCTGTGCGACAGCATTGTCGTTCCACCAGGAACTCTTTGAGCCGGCTGGAGGTGAAGGTGAGAGTCTGTCTCCTCAGCTTCATAAGGTAGGAGTCCTGCAGCCAGGCCTGTGTGAAGCAGTCTCGTGTGGTCGGACGGGCCCTGAAATACACATACGAATACGCAGAACTTAACATTTCATTCTTAAAAGATGTTTAACAGTGAATTTTGCTGGCGCTCACCATGGGTAACTGCTCAACATCTTCTTGAGAAAAGCAGAGGCACTTTGGGACACATTAGGGTACAGTTTTGTCGGGTCAAACTTCGCCATCAGGATCTTGGATTCGACTTGTAGAGGGTCTTTATCTTCGAAGGGTAGTCGACCACTAAGCCTGGTTGTAAACACAGAAAAGAAATTCAAAATTCACTCACTCAATTTGCAACATTTGGCATCTATTATAACAACAACTCAAGTATTGAATTGATTCATCTCTTATCTAAGAAAGCATTAAAAATGTCAGGTCATTTATTATGACTTTCTATGTCGTGTTAACTAACAAGCATGTTTTTCCTAAAGAAAATGTGTTTAACCACGCTGTACCAACAACAAGTTTCACTTACATGATGTGGGTGACAACTCCGACAGTCCAAATATCAGCAGGAGGACCAACCACTTCACCTTTTACCATCTCAGGAGCTTGGACGACATTGATAAAGAGCACATTAATAATGGATCTATGGTACTTTAAAAGTATCTGTCCATCAAAGAAGTGAAATAAGACAGCTGACGTTCTTGTGCTCACCTATGTACTCCAGTGTTCCTGCTCCTGCGTCCTGGTGTGTGAGGCTGAGCGGGTTGAAGATCTGAGCACTTCCAAAGTCCACAATCTTGATGGCGTTCAGGTTGGTCACAATGATATTGTCGGGCTTGAGGTCCAGGTGGAGGATGCGGCGGTTGTGGAGGTACTCGACACCCTGGAGGATCTGGACCAGGTAACCCACCACGTCGTCCTCGGAGTAACGGAACCTTTTGTGAGCAAAGAAATCAAAAAATGGGATTACTTAAAGCAATGACAGATGAAAATATGCAGCAGTGTTTTGGTCCTTAGACTCTAGAAACTCCCGGGCGAATAATTGAACGTCCACTTTCTGCCACAGTGTAAACCTGGCACTTCCTGGATTTAAGGAAGGTCTGTAAGGGGGGTTACTAATATTTACTGAGCTCTACAACAACAACAACAGGATCTTAACATTTGTGGAATTAAAACAAATTAAATATCTACATTTCAAGTGAATGTTTTCAATAAAAAAACAATATAATTATTGTCAACCATCAGTTAGATTTAAATAAGTAAAACTCAATTTAAATTAGTCATTTTCGGCTCAACCCACCAAATGGGCTGCATGTAAGGAGGAAAAGGTCTTCTTTCTCGCCACCTGCTATGCAAGTCTGTCTGAGTTTGTGTATCTCAGTATGAGGTGACACATTGAGCGTTCCTACCTGTCGATGAGGCTGTACAGCAGCTCTTTGCCGGTGCAGTACTCTGCCACCAGAACCAGGTAGCGCGGCGTGACGTAGGCCTCGTGCAGTGACATGACCTTTTCGTTGTGAAGGGATTTCAGGATCTCGTACTCCTTCAGGACTTCCTGCTTGTTCTCCTGGCTGTAGGGAATGATCTTTGCCATGTAGATTTTGCCCGTTGTGTTCTCGCGGCACTCTCGGATGACCCCAAAACGACCCCTGGGAAAAAACAACATGTGAGACTATTACAGCACAAAAATGGCAACAAACGTAGAAGATGAAGGCTGTAAAAGCTACATTTTTGTACTGACATTTATTTGACCACTGCAAGTCACACAAAACCCATACAAAGAGCCAAAGAATAGCAGTTTCAGCATGGTGGAAACTATTAGGGATTAATTAGCTTAGTTTATGTGGATCAGCAGCTCAAGTCTACTTAATGCAGGTTTCATTACCAGTCTTACAGACTAGCAACATTGACAGTGTGTTAAATCCTCCTACAGTACACAATTTGTTCAAATATAAATGAAATAAAATGTTTTCTATGATTTAAAGCCATCCTGTCAGTCTCACCTGGCTTTCTCGTCTAAGAAAGTGTAGGGTTTCTGTGGAACGCCCTGTCGTAGAGCAGTGGAGGGGGTAGCGCGTCCGGACGGAGTGGCTCTGCTGGGGGTACTGGCCCCGTCACCAATGGGGCTCAGGCTGGAGGTCTGGAGCACTTGTGGGGTAAAGGAGACAGGAGTTGGGGCCACACGGGCGGTGGTGGCGGGGACGTACGTGGGCACAGAGGCCACTGCTGGTTTGGTTTGCGTCGATGGCGGGGTTACAAGAGGGGGTGGCGGTGATATTGGTGGGGACTGGGTCATAGGAGACACCACGTTTACTGGACTCTGGGGTTTGGGGAGGACAAAGGGCGGAGGTGCTTTGACTGTGGGTGACGAGGGATGAGTGAAGCTCATTTTTTGAGCGTCCTCAGAGGGTGAAGGGGGGGTTGTTTTCAGGCTGGAGGGCAGAGAGGTCGGAGGGGTGGGAGCGACAGCCGTTTTGGTTGCCGACGTAAGTGGGAGAGGTAAAGCAGCAGGGGAGACTGCGTATTTTGGAGAAGTGGAGGAGGTGGAAGTGATGGTGGAGACGGTTTTCCTGGGAGCGTTGTTCTCGACTGGTCTGAGTGGAGGCACGGTCACTGAGGAGGTGACAACTGGTTCGGCTGGTGCTGGGACTGTTTTTACCACGGCCATGGCAGGTGAAGCTCCTCCAGCTGTGAAATACAACCACGTACTTACTCAGTGTAATTGAATTATTGCTTGTACCCTTGCTTATCCATTTGTTTAAACATTTTAACTCATTTACTCCTCAACAGCTGGTCACAAGTCCAATCAAGTCCAGTAATGTTTCCCTTAACTGTGTGCAGTAATTTACATTCTGGCAGTGTGTTAAAATACCTGTTGTGTCTGGGCTCACTGGAAGAGAGCAGTTGCTGTTCGGTCCCTGTCCTGCCTTGTTGGTGCAGGTGACACGGAACCTGAACGTGCCACCTGGTGGCAGATCTGTGACATTGTAGTAGCAGTCGACGATTCCAGTGGCTACAGTCAACCAGTTAGAATCACCTGAGGGGGAGAAGAGATGAGTGTTTATATGATGTTGCTGTGATCTCTTTGGATAGAGTATTGATTATAGAGTATTCTTGTGGGAAAAACGTCAAATAAAATAAACCCTGATCTTCTGTTCACTTTGAATAGCAAACAACTTACTGTAGTTAGGATATTAAACACCAGATGGGGGTGTTGTCAAACTGATTGGCTGGTGATGAAAACATGGATAAAAACTGAGCACAACAGAAAATGTTGTGTAAATGCAAACAAGGTTTCAGTTTGTGTGCTAAAATATGATCTGACATAGCATCTTATTTCTCATGCAGCCATGGTGAAACAGAGCTGAATTAAAATGTAAATTAGGGAGTGATACACTATTCTGTGAGTTTCTACATCAATGCTGCCTGGCAAAGATTACGTTTGAAATGAGACACAGGATGCCAGGATGAAATCTATCAGACCAAAAATGTCCAATAAATATTCACAAATTGAGTCTGCTGCTACTCCAAGTTTGTGTGACTTTATTTTCATCCACCACATTATGAGATAATGATGACTCATCACGTATAATGACAAAAAGCTTTGACAGCAGCATTGATACAGTCACTATTCCCTCGTGGCTGACTCATTTTCTCTAAGTGATTTGGACTATGGATTTGGAAACTAAAGTCCCTGAGCATTCTCCACATACGGTGCAAAGCCAAACCCTGTCAAAGCTTTTCAAACACAGATACCTCCTACCTCATGTGGCTGTACCACATCACACTGACAATAGCACACAACGGGGATATAACCACCGAAACTACCTACAAACCAAATAACAGCAAAGGCAAACTTATTTTAAACTACAAAACAGGATATTTCTTTGGAGGAGCAGATTCTTTTGAATGATAAATAAAAATAAAAGGTTGTGAGGGTTGCCTTGTTAAATGTCACTCACCTTCTGTCTTTCTTTCCAGGGTGTAGCTGCACGGAGACTTGGTGTCTGCTGGCTTCCAGAGCACCAGGGCTGTATTGTTGTAAGTTTGGGGGACTTCAGGGGTCCCGGGCCGTTTTGGGACACCTTAAGCGATAGGGAGGCGTAGAAAATGAGAAACAAAGTGAAATAGAACAAATTAGGTGAGTCTCCATTGGCATGCAGCTCATAGCAGCCTCTGGTGAAGAAGTCAGTGGCGAGTTTGGCAGATGTGATTAGTATATTAATATTATTATAAAAGAGCTGGATAAATAAAGTTTTAAAACATTAAGATATTCCTGTGGGAAGCTCAAGGTTTTTTTTTATTTGTATGAGCAGGGTTTTAACTGTGTGTGTAGGTGGTTTTCACAGTTAGATCTGTAAGTGAGATTACAACTGGGTTTTCAGTTGTTTGTGGTTTCACTTGTATGCGTGCACAGCTTTACTACTGTGTGAGCGTGTGTTAGCCAGACTGAACTGTGTCTTTTACAGGCCTCCAATAAAAGACTTGATTGCATATTTAAAGTGTTCGCTGCACATTTCTTGTTGTATTTTTATGTTCCTGCACCATTGCTCATTGGTAGGGTGTTTTCTGATGTCTTTTGTGTTTGACGTCATGTTGATAATGATTGACATGTTGTAGTTCACTTATAAGACCCTCTGTGTTTAGCTCACAATCCTGTGACAGCAATCAGTGATACAGTATACTCATTTATTTGCATGAAAATGTCACAATTCTAGCAGATTGAGATTCAAGATATGAAAGAAGAAACGACAATATGTTCATTTCCTCATGCCTGGGCTGCAAAACAGATCCAGACGATGGTTTCAGTTTGGTCGTTACTCCGAACCAAACTTGACACAAATGTTGTCATTCCTTGATTTCAAAATGTATTTCCCACCGGTGTAAACACTGGAGCCAATACTTCAAGTGAGATAAGCTGTCTCTAGTATTTTCCGCATTGCTGATAGATTATCACGGGGAAAAAAATAGCATCATTGGCTTAGATTAATAATACTACATGCCCAAAGCCAAAACAAATAAAGTTGAAATGCAATCGATTGGACCTGTTGTCTGAGAAATATATTCTCCACTGAGGCCTGAAAAAATCCCATTATTATTGTTGCATTTGTGAGCAGAGTTGGCAGAATCGAAGCACTGTTTTCATTACACACTATTTGTGCAGAGGCATGACTTGTCACAGCCGATTTAAAATTGCAGGAAGCGTCATTTGTTCCTGTTCGATGACGAATATGAGAAAAACTAAAAATCCATTAAGTTAATCTACTGTAAAGTTAATCTTTTGACATTAATATTAATTTCAACTGCATTAATATTCAAACCATTCTCCCTGCTATTAAAATTAAATTATGTAAAATACATCACATTATCATCATGATCACTGTATGTTCATGAAAGGAGCAGTTGCACCTCTGATAAGAGGACTCACTATTTGCAGTGTTGACATTAATGAATAAGATTTCCCATTCCCAGATCCCATTTTCCCCGTTCGATAAAATAAATTAACTACAAAGCGACACTTTGTGAATAACTGTAGGCTAAACAAGATACTTACAAGCTATGGACAATGTGCAGGAGGTGGTGATGGTAGCTATGGGGTTGGTAGCCACACATTCATAAACTCCAGCATCCCTCCGGCTGGACTTTATGATCGTAAGAAGCTGCCTGCCATCTGGGTGGGAGATCAGGTTAATTCTGTCATCCACCTCCAGCGGTTTCCGATCTGGAAAACACAAACAAATTAAGCAACTGACAATAACCCCAAACCAAATATTTTGGGAGAATTGAAGTAAGATACCTTTCATCCATGTAATTTCTGGATGTGGACTTCCAGCTGGAAGGCAGCTTAAAGTGGCAGGTTCCCCCTCCAACAAGATGTGGTCTTTCAATTTGATGTGGAACACGGGAGCAAAATCCGAAGCAGAGCGGTTGAACTGTTGGCTTTTTGACAAACCCTCCTCTTTGGGGACAGATGACGGCAGATCGGATTGGGAGGGGGTCTTGTCTTTCTTGCCCCTTGTCAATCCCCACCTGTCCCACCGCGACCGCCTGTCACTCCCTGAGGCTTTTTCGGAATGGATGCTGGAAGTGGATTCAAGTGATTCCTTGGATGCACCAGCACCGGCCTGTTTTGCTAGCTGATTCTCTGGGATTCCCATTCCTTTGAGTCCTCGCCCCTCAGACTGGGTATGACGATGGCGGGTAAACAGGGGCGTCCTCTTTCCCTCTGCATCCCCTTTTCTCTCCTCAGACTGACTGCGGTTCTTTGTGGATATTTCTGCCACTTTGTTCTCAAACTTCTGTCGCATTGCCACGACAGGGGAATCAGTGACTTTCTTTAAATCCTTCTGCGCCAGCTCTTTCTGACTTTCCTCAGCTTCTTTATCCTTCCTCTCCTCTGACTGGGTCCTTAGTTTGGCAGAGATTCCTGCCACTTTGGACTCAAACTTGCGCCTCATAGCAGAAACCGATGACTCCTCAGCTTTTCTTGGTTCTCTCTCATCCTGCTTCCTCTGTGCCCCTGCAATGCTCAGCTCCTTTGTATCCAGGGACTTACTGCGACCAATAGCCCATGAAACCCTCTTGCTTACAGCGGTTTCCTGTACCTTCTTTTCCTCCTTTGGTTTCTCACCCTTCTTATCTACAGATGTTGACCTCTTGGTCCGTAAGGAAAACCTCCCAATCAGACCAAGGCCTGTTTCCTTATCTTCTTCTCTTAAATCTTGAACAGATTTGGATCTCTCCTGTAGTCCTTTGGGTACCATTTCAAGTGGAGCCCCCCTTGGCCCCGGCCTGTAAATGTCTTCACCCCCCTCGACCCCCTTACGGCTTAGTACAGGTGATTTCTCCTCCGATTTGTTTCTGGTCAGTTTTCGGAGGCCACGGGTCAAAGACGACTCGCGCTTCTTAAACCTGGCTTCAAAGACCTCCTCTGAATCTATGTCTTTGATGTCTTTTCTGAGCACAGGCTGGCGGGGGGTGGTGGGAAGATCAGGATTCGATGATGAGGAAATAGAACCAGGAGATCGGTCAGCAGTTGCTACTTTGGCAAACACTGCTGCATGTTCAGGTAATGTGGGGGTACCTGTACCTGTTGACTTTGTATCATTCGACTTGGCTGTAGCAGCGGGACGTTTGGATTGAGACGGCACCGCAACAGCTTGAATGACACTTGCATAAGCAGATGACGGTTTACTATTTTGTGGCGTTCCCTTGTCTCCCTTAATCTCCTTTTCATTAATATGTAACTCCTGATTTTCTTTCCTCTCTTCTTCTTCTTCATCATCATCCTCCTCTATTACAATTATAGGAGTAATTACAGAGGGTGAGCTAGACTCAGATTCAAGTTTATTTGCCTTATCTAACTGGGTTTTGGTCCTTTTCTCTGTTATTCCACCATTTATACTTTGCATATCCTCATTTTCTGTCACATTGTTCTGTTTTTGCTGTTGGTCCAGTCGTCCTGGCGTTGGGAGGATAAAGGAAGTCTGCTTTGTAGGCGAGGCAGATGTAGACTCCAGTGTTGGTTCTGTAAGTGCGGACATTGAGGTTGCCTCCTGGAGCTTCTTTCCTTCTATGCTCCCATTGCCCATTGATGGTATCTCCAAGGGAGCTCCAAACCTGCGGTGCAGGGGCATGGGCTCAGAATCCCCCTGAGTGAAGGAGGCGCTTTTGCGAAAAACTTTGGTCTGTGGCACATCCTCTCCCGGACTCTCAGAAGACGCTGCTCTGGTAAGTGTTGATGGCCCCGCTCTGGATCTCCTCAAATTTCGATCAAGAGACCCTGTCCGTCTCTCATCTTCCATGCCGAGTGTTTCAAATAAGGGCCCCCGCAGACCGCTCATCTTTTTGTCCATACTTCCACCCCTGAGCAGACGCTGTCTCATCAGTTCCAGTTTTAGGGCATAATCTTCCTGGCTTAATTTCGCCGCTCCCGGGCTTGGACTGCGATTGGGTAGTTCCATAGAAACAGCCTTTTTCAGGCTCTTGGTGCTTGCTTCTGAGTCGTTGTTGGAATTTCCTTCTTCTGGGTCAATGTGGAGAAGCAGTGCTGAATCAGCAGAGCTGCCTCTCCTCATGGTAGCCCGCCTAGATTTGGTCTGTGAATCGTCCGACTCCACACTTGATCCTTTTTTAAGGGGAGCTCTTTTTGTGCTCTCGACTTTCTCCTCATTTGGGGTTTCCTCTTCATCTTTCACCCTGTTCTTAGCCCCTCCTCTTGTAGCTGCTAGCTCCATGCTGTCCCTTTTCCTTGTCCCATCAGCAGCAACACTGGGCCATAAAGTGACATCTTCGTCCCCTGGGATCTCATTAAGTGAGACCCTGGAACCAGAAAACACCATGGACAGCGGCATAGGAATAAACGGAAGCTCATCCACATCTGCATCTGAGTCAGAGGATGAGGAGGGTGGTGGGGAGTCTTCTTTTAAATGCCGGGCCACAGCGATGGAGACGTGGCTGGATGAGTCATTCAAAAGCTGTGGGATTGACCGCATCACCATCTTGGATTTGTAGCTGATAAGGGAACGCTGGAAAAGACAACAGAAGACAACGTGAGATAGTTTATTTCTATATTTAATTTTAACATTTTTAAGAAAACCTTTCATACTGATATGGGTTTGCAATCAGTGTGAACTTTGATTAAATGATTCGTCTTGTAAATAAAGTGAGTGTCAGAAACTAATTTAATCAAAGTTGGTGGGTTGCTTCTGTCAGAAAGCATTGTCTGACTGATAATGTCAGGTCTTGGTTGAAATCCATGAATGTGAGTTAATCTTGTATTAAAGGCTATTTTAGGCTTGAACTCGACTTAGTTACTATCTGGGAATCAACCCTTGGAGTCTGCATGTGTCTCAGTCTTTCATTTCCACATACTAAAAGCATGCAGCGGCTTACCTGCCATCGCCTTCTAGACAAAACTTGCTTCAGCATCGCTGTGCTGATGCTCTTGTTCGTTGGTGACTAAAAGACAAAAAGAGTCATCATTAACCTTAGGGAAGATATAAATAAAAATCTAATGACACATTGAAAGGTTTGAGGCAGGGTGATTTTTCATTTTCTAAATGATAGCTCACCTTGAACCAAGGATGACGAAGGCACTCAATGGCACTGGGCCTCCTAGGAGAGGGGGAAATGTGCAGATGAGAAAGGAGCACGCTACTGTTTCTATACGGTTAAATGGAATCATGGTTGGTCAAAATTATATTTATTTATATGTTTATGATAAAATAGGACATTCATCAAGATGCTTACAGTCTATCCACCACCAAAAGCTTGATGACAAATCCCTTTGCTTCTTTGCAGAGGTCGGAAAACATGCTCTCCTCAAACGCCACATTGTAGTCACGGATGTTTAAGGCAGTGGCTCTGTCATTCTCACCAGCAAAAGGAGACACACCAGTCAGACTAAAAACAATAAAAAAATCATTGTTAACAAAATAAAACAATTATATAATATAAACTGACAAAACACAGTAAAGAAATCTATATAACATACCAGAGGTAAGTGATGACACCAACAGGCCTGTGGGAGAGCAGGGCAGATGAATGACAAGTGGATATTTGGGAACATCATAACAGCACACTAACACAAGAGATTTTTATTTCCTTGCAGATAATAAGGCAGCGCCTGCAGTGTGTAGTCACTTCTTCATGCTGGAGAACAGGTGGCTCACCATATGTCTGTTGCCGTGGAGACAGGAGTTTGGTTAACAATCTCTGGTGCAACATATTCTGGCGTGCCGTATTTGCAGTAGCGCTCCTCTGAAGTCTCCAATTTTATGGCATTACCAAAGTCGATAATACGGATCTGGTCACTCCCAGGACTTGCCATTAAAATATTTTCAGGCTAGATGGGGGTGCATCCAAAAATCAACAGTGTTAGGTACTTGTACAAGAATATCAAATTATCAAATACATTAAATACAGAACCAGAGGTTGGATGGACAGTTACCTTTATATCAAGGTGGGCAATGTTTTTGTGGTGAAGATAACGAAGGCCTTCCAAAACCTGCTGAACACTACAGCGGATCTGTGGAGAAACATAAGGGAACAAACTTAAAAGTCATGTTACATAATGATAGCGCAGTGCAGTCAGCAAGAAGCACACAAACCTCCAGTTCCTTGACTGTTGTTTTTTTGGCCATCCTCTCCAGCAACTCCTCGTGACATCTTCACACAACAGTTGAGGGAAAAAAAACTGGGACTGCACAGTCCAAGTGGTAGGTGCATGAGAAATGAATTATAAATGAGCAAAACTCCCACACATCCTATCTTTTTCTAATTCCACTCATCAGCAATGAGTCAGAGAACTGTGCTGTGTTTTATTCATGCCTCCAGGGGACCACAGAAGAAGACATTAGGATTAATGCTTTGGATCTTTAGTGTCCTTGAGCTGCATTTAAGTGCACTTTTGTTCGACAATCAAGCAGATCAAATTTGAAACAGTACTGCAGGAAAAAGGTAGTGTCTTTTTGACTTGGAGATTGTCAAAGAGCGTGTTTGCAACAGCTTCTATTGTTGCAATTCTGTGTCAAATAACAGGTCACTAATATAAATAGAAGCATAATAAAGCAACATATTACAGTACAGCTTCCTATTGCTGAAGGCTACAAAGGTTCCACTGAAAGGATACAACTCTGTGATGAGCACCACCACGTTCTTCTTCTCAAAGGCATCGTGGAAATAGAGAATCCTCTCATTGTCCAGCTCAGACAGTAGGTCCATCTCTGTTAGGGCCAAGGCTTTCCTCTTTCCTCGCGCAGAAATGAACTTGGCAGCGAAGTCGGCCTTTCCCTTTTTCTGAGTCAACCTCTTCACATAGGAGAAGGCACCCCTGCACCAAACAGTTGTATTTTGGGTTTAAATACATACACAAATGGCTTGTTTGTTAGTTAATTTCGTTCATTCTTATTCTAAATAAATAAAAAAGAAATGTAGTGCCAAAGACAATGTTCAAGGGAGCTTGCCTCTTTTTTTCATACCACCTGGTGTGACCTTGTTAGATCAAAATATAACTATTAGAGCAAGGAGGCTCATTCCTGCCCTTTATGAACAGTATGTCTGACAAAATTATTTCAGCTCAAATGTCAACTCACTTGCTTTCAGCCTTCAGCAAATCTCTGCAGTTGGAGGCTCATGTAATCCCGTTGTAGGCCAGTATATTCTAACATAAAAGCAGAGTTTGGCTGCACTCTCTGTTTAAAGGTTTTTGTGTGGTCAGCTGTGCGCTCTGTTGCACCTGTAACTGCACCCAAGAGCGATGTCACGCTGTAGAGTACACTTATATATACACACATCACTGCAGCAAGGTGAGAAGTAAAACCACAGGTGGTCAGCTAAAACAACATTTTCAGGGGGAGTTAAGTTACTCTTGAACTGTAAACTCAGTGCTGGCACCATCTTTGTCAAACATTATCACTCCCACAAGTACAAGACATAGCACAGTAACAGCTGAGATGAATAGCCTTTAACATGTATCATTTTAGATCCGGTTTGCACACCTGTCAGCCAATCAGAATCATGGATTATCTGGAGACGGAAGAAGAAAAGGGAAAACAACAAAAGGACACATTTTTGTTTTGGTAAAAAGAGCATATTTTAAGAAAAAGGGGCGGAGAATCCTCAAACTTAGCTCTTTCCCTCCAATTTAGTAATATAATCTTCTTTGCAAAAGGCAACAGTAATTTTGGGAGACAAAAAAATCTGAATTGAGTTTGCTTCTCTGCTTAATAAACAAAATGCATCCACTGTTTTTCCACAGATTTTCCTGTCTGCCTATTTTGCGATTGCTCCACAATTCACAGTAAATATCTGTCTCCGCAGAGTCAGACCAAAGCAAATCATCTGTCGGCTAATGCATTCACTCCACTCAGGCTGGTGACTCATCTCTCGTTTCTGTCTGCTGTTGTTAAGCAGGTGCGACTCCCCGTCCTCCCACAGCCCGATCCCCAGCGCTCAAACAGCCATTAACGCAGATGAACTCAGCATGAGAGCATCAGTGTGCGGTCAGTCATACACACTCACCTCCCTATCTCTTTGTGGATATCATAGTAATCCGTCAAACGCCTCATCTTCCTCAGAATGGTTCCCTCGTCCTCCATTGGCTCTGCTGTTTCTTTTCGCTCTGCAGGGAGCATTGACATTGGCATTTTTATGTGTGTGTGTTTGGCTGTATGTGTTTGCCAGCATAGTGACAGATGGTTTCATATTGTAGTCTCAAAACACCTTGTGGTCCCGCCCATATGGCATAGATTTGGAAGTGCAATTTTCAAAAAAAACAACTAGCTGATATTGGTGCGTACTGCATCAGCAAATGTATATAATCTGAACTGACTGAAAGATAAGCGGAAAATAGAAGAAGCCTGTTGGTAAACAATTTTTGGAACAGGGCTTAAAATCTTTCTGTATATCACCATTTCAATGATTCTCAATACAAAACTTAGACAACATCCTCGTAACTTTCCTACATTTAAGTCTAACAGAATTATAGTCCTTTTCACTGAATCTATCTACGTGCTCTGTATGTTTCTACATATGGTATTGTTGATGTTTTGTTGGACTGCAGACCTGTATGAACTGTGAGTTCAGCCTTGCAGGAGTTGGAGCCGGCCAGGTTCTTTGCAGTGCAGGTGTACACACCAGAGTGTTCGGGTTGGGCGTTGAGGACAACCAAGGAATATTCTGGATCATCGTACACGAACGTGAAGTGGCTGCTCTCAGAGAGAAGCACATCATCCTGCAACAGACCAATGAAATATTACATTACACTAATAATACGGATAATTTCAATCACACATTTTCTCGAGCAGTTGTAATTTCCTGGCTGTTGACCACTGCAAAGTTAGTACAAAAGGAAACACTCTCTTGTATGAAAGTGTTTTTAAATCATCACTCTCAAACGTCATACCTTATACCACAGAATATCTGGGTCTGGTTTCCCTTCAACCACAACAGCCAGACGGGACGTCTCTCCAATGTGCACATCAACATCCTCCATGATGGTTTCAAACTTAGGAGGCACTACAAAAGAAAATAAATTAAAAAAGAGAGACAAAAAAACTATGAGAATACCTCTAAAACATTAAGGTGGTCACACATATTAAATCATAGATGACTAAAACATTGTGGACTGCATGAGAGTAGTTACTCGCTGTCTTTATGCAGTTTAAAGTTATTTTCTTCATATATTGTACAACTATAAGTTATATTGTAACTTCCTAAAAAAGATACAAAAGCACTTTGAGGATGCTGACATTTTTGTATTTCTAAAACCTTAATCCCATCAATGAAGAGACAGTCACAAGAAAGGAAAGTCTCAATTTTAAAACACTAAAGTCATTTTTAGAGAAGCTATTCTAAATTCATGGTCCTTTACTTCAAAAATAGCAAAAGCACAACTTAAATTACAAACAACTTGCCCTGGTTGGCATTTACTGCTGCCAGGAGTAAGTAGTAAGTTCTTTGGATTCAAGCTGAAATGCTAAATTTATCATGTGGTGCCTGAACTAAACTGACCTGCCATGGCCAGCTGAAGCGTGCAGAGGTCGCTGCCAAACTGGTTGCTGGCCGTGACCACCAGCTGCCCGACGTCTGTGCTCCTGACTCGCTGAAGCTTCAGGGTGTGTTGGTCGTCGTCAGGCATGCTCATCTCATACATCCCCGGTCTGTTGACCAACACCACCCCCCTCCTGGTGAAGACAGAGGCAATTTATCACTATTAGAGCTACAGATTAGCAATTAAAACCAAATATTGTTGTATTGACATTTTGATTTTGCACATACTCTGCAAACAATGACTGATATAAACACAATCAAGGATACTGACGCTCACTGAATTCGATATATACAATACACACTTGTTAAAAGAGACATGCATTTTTACTGACAAGTAAAAATTCATGTTTTGGTCCAAATGTATCAAAGAATTAAACACCAGGTAGCAACGCCATGTTGAGGACCCTGCAGACAGAGAATAAAGCTTTCCTCCAAGAAGCCCCCCCGGGAACATGTGCTGGAACATCAAAAGCTAAATTCAATCAAATCTACATGCATGTGAACCACCGCACAGCGGCTCCTGCTATTTTTCTCTAATCTTTATTGGTTAACATGTCATATCCTAGTTTACAAAACTATGATGAGAATAGAAATGTGATGAAATCCAGCAGTGCTGTGGCTCCTGAGAGACTTCTTCTGTAGGGCTTTCTTTGTTAGAAATGAGCAAGAAATCAGAAACTGTTTCAATATTTAAACAAAGATTCAAAACTCATCAATTCAGCAGGAGCACGTACACACTCTCAGTTCCATAAAAAAACCCTCTCTGCGCACTATCCTTTACAGACAAATCTGTAATGTGATGGAGGAACCAACCTTTTCCAGGTGACAACTGCATGCACGTGGTTGAGTGTGATGGTGATGTTTGCAGGTTGGTTCTCAACCATATAAACAATGTCAGGTTTGTCCAATATGATCGGTGCTTTCCTCAAATAGGGTCCTACAGGGGTAAAAGATTTTAAAAGATATCATCAAACTCTTGGTGAGCTCATATATCAAAAGTCCAGTGTGTAATATTTAGGAGGATCTATTGGCAGAAATGGAATATAATTTAAAGCCTCCCTCTGCTTTGTTACCTCTGTCCAGCAGCTGGACCAGGTCAGTCGAGGCTGATGGTTTACTCGATGTCTTCCCGGTGGACGTCAGGACTCTGAAAGCGTAGCGAACTCCCTTGGACAGCGAGGTGACAGTGTAGTTGGTGTCCCTCAGATTAGACGCCACGACAGACCACTGGATAGAGCCCAGAGGCTGCTGCTGGACCATATATAGCAAGGAGCCGGCATCTGCAGACACATGTAGTGTGTTTAGTTACTAAATCTGGTAGTGAGGTGCTTAAGATGGAGAGAGAAGTCACATAATGAACCTACCAAATGAAGAATCAAGCCTCTTTGGTCTCTTCCAGCTCAGGCTTATAGTTTTCCCTGTAATAGCCTCTATCACTGGAGGACCATCGGGGGGGTCAGGAACGATGTCTGTTTCCAAATGAATAAACACATCAATATATACGTATTATATGGGAAATATTGTATTCACTCAGTTATAGCAACAATCATTAAGCTTCCATCTCTACCTGTGACGTATAGATGTGCATAGCAGGTTGCTTTGCCCACTTTATTGGAGATGACAGCCTTGTAGACGCCCCCATGAGCATGACAAGCGCTCCGAATGACCAGACTGTGGACATCCCTGTCTGAAGAACAGACACACAAGTTTCTTATTTACTATTCCCCACCGCCCCTTTAAAAATTGGCTTAGCTTTGCTTGTTATCGGGTCCTTTACTTACACTGGGTCATTTTGCGTTCTTCGCTGCTCTCGATGGGCTTGCCGTTGTGGTACCAGCCGATGGTTGGATACGGCAGGCCCGCCACCTTGCATTTCAGCACCACCTCTTTGCCTTCAATCACCTCCACATCAGCCAGAGGTTTGACAAAGTCTGGCATGGTCCTCTTCTCCACCTCGCTCTCCAGCACTTCGGGCTCCTCGGGGATGGATGGCATCTTTTCCAGCTTGGCCCTGGAGGAGGGAACGAGAGGTTGGTATTAAAAATCCGACGTACACTGTAAGAATGACGGGTTTATTTTATTTTTGTCATGTGCATTGGCTGGTTTTCTTTCCTCCTGAAGCATTTTTCTTTGCCTTTGAAAACCAAAATGGCTCCTCTGACTTTTATACAGACAGCTTGGTTTTATTTTCAAAGCCTTTAAAGTGACACAATGGCTCACAGAGATGTTTTCCATATGAATGACTTGTCTTACATGTGAGACGAGATGGCAGCACGAGGTTCTTGCATGTAGAGCTCAGCGGTGCATTCAGACTTTCCATGAATGTTTTGAGCGACTGCTGTGTAGAAGCCCTCTGTGTCGCTGCTAACGTGGGTGATGACAAGTGAGTGACGACCTCCCTCTTGAAGGATGCGTACATTATCGCTCTCCTCCACTCTTGTCTCTGAAAGAACATTAACGTGGAAAATAATCAAACAAGGCTGAAGCGTTCGTAGCTAGAAGAGCACATATCAGACTCTACACTTACCAAAATGCATCCATGTGACTCGTGGAGCAGGCGATCCACTCACTTTACAGTCAAACCGGGCAGTGCGGCCTTCGATGACCTCCAGGATGTCTAGCTTTCGGGTGAACAGAGGCTCCTTGGATGGGGTGACCTTCAGTTTTGCGCTTGAGGTCAGCTCCTCTGTAAATGCATCGAAACGATGCTAAGTAGCAAGTTCTTCCTGAGGCACCTTTAAGCTTCACTAATGTGTCATTTACTCAGTTTTGTTTTTATCTCTACTTTCAGTAAGCAAATAAGTAAGTAAAACTGATTTATATAAATCTATTTATATTTCACAGACATAAGTCACAAAGTTTTTTATCAACTGTAGTAAAGTTGGAATAAAAAATCTTTTTAATTCATCAACATAATTTGAAGTTATCCAACTAAAAGTCAAACAAACAAACCTCCATGGGTTAAGCTAAGGGGAACAGATATAAATATGTATTTTCCCTCGTCTCTAGAACAACAGGCATTACAGTATCTGTAGTTCACCTTTGGCAGTACTCAGCTTGCAAACGTATATTCCACTATCATCCTCGTGTACTGAATTCAGCAGCAGACGGCACCTGCGATGTAAAACAAAACAGCCTTTGAGAAAATAATTCATCTGAAAAACTATCAGATAATCTTGCAAAATTATTGCTTCACTGGAGATCCGCAGCAACCAACATTTTTCCAGGCCCTCACACATAAGAAAAGGCCATTATTTACACTGTTTAACACACATAAACACACCTCTTGCCATCAAAGTGCATTTTGCAGTTGAGCAGCGCCGGCTGGATCAGCTTCCCATTGGACAGCCAGTCCACATCGACGTCTGGAGGTCCTGTCATGTGACACTCGAACATGGCCGACTCGCCGGCCCTCACCGTCACATCTTTCACCTCCCTGGTGATATTTAGTGCTGTTTGTGCAGCTGCTGATAAAAACACATACAAAGAACAGCAACAGTTAAATATTACAAGGTATTTATTACAACATGATTAATCTAGACAGATTTTTTCATTGCTTACCTTTCACATCAACTCTGCACTCCGCTTGCTTGGATCCGTACTCGTTGATGATCTTGCAGACATAAAGCCCTGCATCTGACCTCTGAGCTGAGACGATTCTCATTTCACTGGTGCCATCGTCTGTCTCTCGCACAGCAAAGCGCCCCGCTGTCTTCAGCGTAACTCTGTCCTTCAACCTGGGTCAATATAAAGTGGATGTCACAGACATTTATACTCAGGTGTTTAATGGAGGGCTGTGTGTGTGTGACAGGGAAACAGTAAGTGACCTTGGTTGAGGTAATAGCTTCATGTGTCTACAAAGATATTTGTCTGCAATAAAGCTTTCAGTAGAGGTGTCTTACCAGTAAACCATGGGTTTGGGCTGCCCTCTGACCTTTGCTGAGATGATGACATCTTGACCCTCAGTTATCCCCTGGTCACACGGTGACACCTTTTAAAGAATCACAATACAGCTGTGTATAAAACCTTTTTAAGGTGTCAGGGTAGCAGCCCAAATGTCATTTGAATGTGAGCTGAAACAAATGTTTTCAGGTACAGTACAAGCTTCTGAAATACTAATCGTTTCTGCTTGTTTATAACAGAAAATAATTAAAATAGTAAATTGAATATTGCTGGGTTTTGGTCAGACAAAACAAGCTAATTGAATATGTCACCTTAGGGTATGGGAAATTGTTATGCTAATGTCTGACATATTTCTGACATTTTACAGAGAAAATAATTGTTAAATCAAATAAATAACTACAATAAATAACTGCAGCCCTAATTCCAACATAAAAACTATTTCAAACATATATACAAACATAAGTTATCACAAAAAATGGAAATTTCTGAAGTGTCTCAGTCTTGTTGATCAAATTGGATTCCAATCCATTCACCTTATACAGTAGCTTGCTTTTTTGGATCAGTATTGGGAAAATAAACACAATTTTGGGGGTGTATGCATCAACAATGTTGGTGTGCAGCCAGACCTAAAGATCAGGTTTGAAAAACGAATCTAGATGTTGCTTCTGAGCCCCTCCTACCTGAAACGAGGGAGGTTCTTTGAAGTGAACACTTTTAGTCAGAGCAGGTGAGTCCCCGAGCTCCATCGCCTCCTCCTGAGGGCTCAGATACTCCTCGTCTGACTGGGTCGGACTACTGACTTCCAAGTCCCCGGCTTGTTTCCCACATTGTATGTGGGTTGGCTCTGATAGAAAAAGAGAATGATACTGGACATAAGTATTACAGAATTTCAAGCACAGCTACATCTAATTCATGTTTATTTGGGTTCATGCAGAAGTTAACTCTCATTTGCGCACTTCTTAATTTATGTAATTAAGTGCAAATCTCTTTGAAATATGGTTAACACGCCACCAGGGTGGCTCGTTAGACCTTTAGATGGGAACAATCTGTCAGGGCTCTGATGTTTACAGTCTTTACTTGCTTTTCTGGAGATTACTATCTTTGCCAACATGAGCAGTTGGCAACAAAGAGCGGTGAGTTAGACATGAGTGGGCCACGTGTACCCACATACACACACACACACACACACACACACACACAGGCACACACAGGCACACACACAGAGCGTAGGGACCACTCTGAAGTGACCGTAACCGAACAGATAATGAATTAATCCCTTAATCCCTGACCCAATCATTCGCTTATTCCCATGGAGTTCCAGAGCAGACGCTGTGTCTGGACTCCTGGCAGCTTCTACTAAAGTCAGAATTAATTCACCGCTGGATAGAGAAATATAAAAACATCGCCACCCTACGGTACCTCCATTTAGACTTTCTTTCTCTTTCTGCCTCGTTGCTTCTTTTAGTCTCTGCTCCTCACTTTCTCTGTAAGACCTAAAACTCAGACGTCTGACATAAGCAGATAACACTCTGACAACCGAAAAAGAATAATATCCACCAGTGGAACAGAATTAAGATGTCCTCCTTTGAGGAGAAAACAACAGTAGAGTGGATAGATAAACATGAATAAGTACCGCTATTAAACTAACTCTGCAGTCTAAAAAAAGAAAGGAAACAAGTCATCCACTGTAAACTGCAGGTGAAAGAAGTCAGGCTTGTCCATGCTGAAAAACATGTACAAACCAATGTATATAAGCAAGAACTGACTTGTAGCAATAAAACTTTAGATTTAGAGATTTCTCTTTACAGAGAAACATTGTTTATCCTCAGTTATTACATTTAAGTATGTAGGTATTCTGATCATGCTGACATTAAAAAGGAAAAATAATAAAATAACCTACCTAGTGTCACATCTCTGAGCGGCGTCTGTGCACCAGGGGATAACTCCCGGGAGTATTTACGTAAACCTGCCAACTCTTACACAACTGCTGCACTGTCCGAGCCAGCTAACCTTCCTTTTCAGTCTCATCCTTTTATTCTCTCCTCTGCTTCCCGTCACTGTCACGTCCATATTCTGTAACATTCCTCACATCCTGAAGCTCACACAATAGCTCTGGAAAGTTAAACATTGTTCATTAATGAATTTCCTTCACCAAATTGAGGTTTGTTCCTCTGTAGCCTATAAATCATTCTCTCCCTCAATTCTGGCTCTGTTTTCTCGGCTAAAATGACTCAAATAATCTCCCACCACATTTTGACAACTCCAAGCCCTGCAGCGTGAAATCTAGAGGGATGAAAAACTCCATGATTGAAGCAGTAATCTCACACAGGGACATAAAGCAGACTGCAATTACCCGAGAGAACAAGAGCGTTGCTAAAAATACTCCTGCAAGTTAGACTCCACTGGCCTAATATGGCAACACAGGCCCCGTGCTGCTGGCGGGACAGAGTCAGAGTGTACGCTCACATTTGTTGACAAAACTAGAGAAGTGCAGGTTGCATTTACAAGAGCTGAATCAACGCTCTGGGAGTGGTACAAGCTTTTCACACACACCCCGTACAATATAAACACACATCCACCACAGGCACATTTATAACAGGAACTTTTTCCAAACGGAATATTTATTTAGTTTACTCCTGATTCTGAATGCCATGACTGCCTTTAAGACTCGGGAGACCTTTGTGTGACAGGGCAAGCCTGCGTTTTGAATCCACTCCGACAGGGAGCTCAGTGCCTTTAAGAATTAATGGGTTGCCATGGCGACTATCGCTGCGAGGAGCCATGGTCGGGATGCTGAGCTCCAGCGGGCCTTTGTAGTCATTAAAACAGAATGTCAGGCGGAGGAGGGCTGGCAGTGGATTAAAGCGAGTTTGTGTGTGTGAGTCAACATGTTCATGTATTTCTAGGACAGTATCGTTTTCATGTGCCCCAACGTCTCTGTCTTCATTTAAATGTGTGTTATGTGCTTTTAAATGTGTCACTGTAACACCAAATCTAACTTGCTAATCCCTTTTGCATGCTGGGATATCCCTCCATCTCTGGCCTCTTCTCACCTGATTGGATATAGAGCGTGGCGACGCAGGACGCGCTGCCGGCCGGGTTGACAGCTACGACGCAGTATGACCCTGCGTTGCTCTGCCTCATCTGCTTTATCACGAGACTGTGTTTCTCACCCTCAGCCTTAACCACATGGAAGGCATCGCTCCGTATCTCCGTATTATTCATCTTCCATGTCACTGAGGAGGCAGAGAAAAACACATTCACACAGATGACAAACACCCAATAAAACCTCCCACAGAAAACCAGATATAGCACAATCCACCTTACAAAGATGTGTAATGAATAAAGCAAGCAGGTTTTGGTTTTTAAAGATTATCACTGGAAAACACCAAGATTTTATAAAAGATGGATTTAAACAAATGTTTTGACTTATTTCCAGACATAAAATAACTGTAACACAGTTCACTTCCAGTTAACAAGGCTCCTAAAAAAGTGAATAAAAAATTATGAGAATAATGATTATCTCAAAATGTACCTATAAAACTAGTAATAAACGACTGTATTCAGCTATAGTCTTGACTGATGAAACAAATGCTCTCTTCTGTCACATGGAAATTTGTGGTATTTCTTTTATAATACAATTTTTATTTCTTATTTACAAAATAGAGAAAAAACAAACATACAACCCACCAAAAACATACAAAATACATACAAGAAAAAAGACAAAAAGAAAGAGCCTTTGTAATCAATTCTGTGTGCAGCACGTTGTCAGTTGTACCTGTAGGGGGCGGGCTCCCAGTGATGATGCATTTCAGTGTGACCTCGGTGCCACTGGATGCCGTGGCGTCCTCAAGAGGCCTCTCAAACCTAGGGCCCTCAGCTGGCTCCTCATCAGCAGACAGGTAGGAGTCATCAGATGAACCCCCTGTAAACGACAGGTCAGGTTCATGTGAGCCTGTCTGTGCTCTGTCTGGTTTCACAAATGGGTCAGGCCTCAGAATTAGTCATGGGCTAGTTTCTTTTTCTGGGTCCTCATGTAAAATGAGTTCTATCGATGAGTCTGGGCCCCCGCGGCGAGTCTGTGTGTTAGATTAATGTTTCATAGCAGACAACATAATAGATACATGTTCTACTTTCTTGTTCAGTTTTAGTATCTATCCGTATCTATATCTTTTATGTATTTGAAGTGATGTATCTGCAGTTTGCACTGTTCTGTTTTTAATAAAGTTATTCATTTCCAGTACGTACACCCAACCCCTTTGCCTTGTAACCTTTTAAAAACTAGAAAAGTCATTTTTTTCTTCAAGTACTGCTTATAAAACTGCTTAAGGAAGCCATCGCAAAGACACTACTACAATGTTTGTATTGAGACTGAGATATTTTAAGTTGTGTCGGTATGTTGTATTCCACACTGTCCCTCAAGGACAAAAATTCATTAATCATCTCATGACCATTCAAATGAATCTTCTACAGTAGGTTGGGAACCACTCACTCAGACTAATAGAGCCAAAGTATTACTCTACATATTTGAAGGAAGTTGGCTCACAAAATCCATTAAAAAAAACCCAAAACACATAGCTACAATGTAGATTTCTGAAGGGGCATTTTGACGGTTCAGTTACTGGAGTCAGAAAACCCCAAATGTGACAAAGACACAGAGCCCTATGGGAGTAGAGTTGGGGCATGCAGACAGCAGCCACTATGGTGTGGAACTTCCTCAGAGACCTGTCAGTCGAGGCAAACATACCCCAATATATACTTCCCTGTAAGCCTTAAAAATAAAAAAAAAGACAAAGATACAAAATCCTGATTTTGTTTTTCTAATCTTGAGAGATTTTTAGGGGTTTTCTCATTTTTTGGAGCCAGCAGCTTGTGGCTATTAAGGGTTAACTGCATCACAAGGCCGCTTATGAACAATAAAACACATCCTACCTTCCTCTGGAGATCGGGGTTGAATGGAACGGCCTTTCTTGCTCTTGCGAACTTTCCCCTCTTTCCTTCTGGTTTTGGCTCCCTCGATGCTCCTGTCTGTAACGCAGTCCGTCTCCATGAGTTCATCCTCCACCAGAATAGTGGGGATGACCAATTTCAAGGCTGGACACGTCCGACTCACCTCCGCCTTCCTCCTTTTCAGGAGAGGGCTGATGGAGGGACTGGGTGACGGGGTGAGCCGGGGGGGTTTGGGTGGATACTGGGACCCTGGTTCCCTCACAGTTATTGGGGATGCTCTCTTCCCATGAGGGCTTGGTGATCTAGGGTCTGCTTTGTTGTCCATCTTGGTGTCCCTTTTGGAATCCGGCCCCAGATCTCTGAAGGAGGATTTTAGAGATGTGGCAACAAGCGCGTCTTTGTCAGCTGCTGGAGAGCTTTGTAGGGTTTCCCTGTGTGCAAAGACAAGAAAACTGTTATGTAATAGTGACAAAGTGTGGAATAAATATTCAAGTAGTTTAAAATGTATTTTGATTGGTGTCCAGACTTGTTGACCATTAACCAATCTTACAAAGACAAATACAGGACAGGACACACATACATATGATTTAAAAAAAAACGCATATTCAGTAAAATCTTCTCCAAACCTGGTGAGGCTAGTCCTTGTGGCTGTTTGCAGTGGTTGTCCTGGTAACTGTTGAACTGGTGCCGTCTCCATGGTAACAGAGATTTTCCCTGTGCTTCCTCGTGATGAGCTGTCCACTGGTTTCCCCTGTGAATCTGGCTGTGTCATCTTGCTTCTTTGAATCATCAGATCTTTGCCTTGGGCCTGCAGAGAAATCTGTAATCTGCTGTTCCCTTCCCTCTCCACAACTTTTCTGTCCTCTGCGGCTCGCTCCCTTGCCTCCAACTTTTTAACCACTTGGGGAGGAATGGGCTCTAGTCTCCCCGTGGTCAGCCTCTCTTTCTGCGACAGCTGCTCAGTGGAATACGCCTTCTTCAAGCTTGGTTTCCCCACAAGTTTTTTGATCCGCTGTAGCTCTTCGGCAAATTTGCTCTGGTAGCTCTGGACCCTCTGGGAGTAGCTCGTCTTGTCCTCTAAAGACGAGGCCCGTTGCTTGAACGCTGTTCGCTTCTGGGCTGCTCCCTGCATGATTCGACCCTCTTCTTTGCTCGGGCCTGCCGTCTTCTTCCCGCCATCGTCTGAGTCGAAGGAAGCTGCTCGTCCAAATCCAGATCCAGAAACAGGTCCGACTCCTCCGGGCAGATCCACACTAGCCCTTCGCTCCTCAAAAGCACGGACCTTGTCGAAGATCTTTGGCCCCGCACGGGCCAGTTTGGGTGTCATGACAACACTATTAGCACTTGATATCTGGTCTGTCTTAGAAAATTGGATATCTGAGGGTTTGGTTTTACCCAGGTCTTGGTTTGGGGTACTGATGCTGTTTTTGTGTGTACTGGGAGGTGGTTGGGGAGAAGACAGGGAGGCACGGGGGGAGAGCCCCTGTGATTCATCAGCAGTCCTAGAGGGGTGAGGATTGAGGGGAAATGGAGGTGTGAAATTAGAGCTCTAGTGCAGTTGCTGTAGGATTGGAGAAGTAACAATGAACCTCCATTTGTGTCATTTGGTCTTATGTTTTCATATTCACCAGTGAGTTCCTTGTGTTTTGTCTGTGCTCTTTGTGTCTCATTTTCAGAGAGCAACACATCAGACAGTGTAAAATGAAATGGCAGAGAAAGCAACAGAAATAAAATAACGTTGCCCACATGTAAGATTTCTTAAGAGGTTCTAAGGAACTTAATCTAACTGTGGTGGCGTGGAAGACACTAAAAACAGGAATAACTGGAAATTGTAGGCATGTTGCAGCAACAAATTTTAGATTTACAACATGAACTCTTACAAAATGCCAGCAAAAATACCCCTGCTTTAACTTCAAATACAAAAACATCATGCCTAAAAAGAACCTGCGAATCACTTGATCATTAATTTGTGAGAACATTCATGCTAATATTAGCTTGGATCAAAGCCAGCAACCCATGCATGCCACAGCAAACCTATAAAGATATGGTGTTAATCCAAAAGCACAGGGCTGCTCTAGAAAACATGCAGTGGGTAAAAAGAGTAGTCACAGTTTTCAGAAGTGCTGAATAATACATATTAGCAGATTGTACCATTGTGTCCTTTCTAATGGCTATAAGAAATATTAACAATGATATTTTGTAAGAGCAATCATTGTTAAATTGAAACCAAACCACACACAGCAATAAAAGCACTGAGTCAAAGGAAAGCGTGATATCAAAATAAAAATGGGAAGTAACACTGTATGAAAAAAGCTTGAATATATGAAATAAGAGTAAAAAAATAATGAATTTGTGTAATTTATAACTTATGAAGTACAATTTTTGCGAGTTGGGTCTATGGAGGATAATGTCTTATGTGTCAGTTTTCTTTGCAATTTGGGGTTTGTGGTCAGTCTTTCTTGTTTTTTAGTGGAATCTTTAAAAAAAAAAAAGCCATGTGCTATAACGGCATAGAAAATGTTCTCCCTCTGTAGAGGCTGAACATGCTCCCATAGTAGTCGCTGCCTACTGAAACACTTTCCTCTGACCCCTGAACAGGCCGTGCCAGGTTAGCGTGAGACGCCCGGATCAGCGGTTCCACACCCAGGTGACGGACAGGGGGGCCCCCTTCAGCGGGAGCCCCACCGAGGGCTTGCCTGGCTGGGTTTGTGGGGTCCAAGTGGGACCCCGGAGGGCGGGAGCCCAGAGCGCGGAGCTCTCGCTCCACCACAGAATCATAAGCGCCGGGGAGGGTGGCCCTGCGATCTGAAGCATCTGGGTTATAGTCCATCATCCCTCCTCCCTCACCTGGAGGAAGACAGAGGAAAGAGACTTGATTAGAGTTTAAATCTCTTATAACTGTAGGTAAAGCTTGGAGGATAGGGCTGATGTGATTGTTATTCAAAAAGTCAGTTCATCCATCCAGATAAACTACCTCTCCTGTTCCTCTCAGACCCAAACCCATTAGTTCCTTCTGAAGATGGATGGATCGCAAACATAGTTCAATATAAAACAGCTGAGCACAGTTGTGGTAGTTTTTTTTATCAAACATCACTCAAACAAGAGTAAATAGTGCATTTGACTATTTTAAGCTGTGTATTAATACACTTGGTGGTCTAATTAGTATTTACAGCAGCAGGAGTATGTGTATGGTCATGACTCAAAATAAACTACAGTGCCTGTGTTCATTGTAATTAAGCAACGTATCACCCAGTGCAACAGTGGGGCTCATTGGTGTGTTTTAAATAGATTTTGGATAACAATGGAGCTCTGTGGCAGAGAGGAGTACGATATATCAGACTTTGGCTACACAGGCAGTATGCTGTTAGTAGGATCAATTCATTGTTGGTTTTGGTTGTATAGAACATCATCAGATTGATACTTTAAGAGAGTCAGATGGTGAGAGAAAGATAAACATGATCAACTTAATACTAAACTAACTAACTAATACCAAACTGTTTCAGCAGTGTTAATTGAAAGCTCAATAGACCATTTTTGTTGAATGACAAACCTTTTGTGAATTTAATATCATACTGGAACACCCTTCAGCTCTATTAGTAACACTTTCATTTCTAGAAGTCAGTGTCCTTTTAAATATATTTTATTTCCCAAGCATAAGCATAGAAAATCAAGGCTTATATTTTGTTTGAATGTTTATTTTGTATATAATACATTACTAAAAAAAAAAAGTCTGTCATTGATTAACTGATTGATTCATCAGTACATAGAGCAAGAACCCTGAGCTTGTAGAAAATGATACTGATGTAAAACGAAAAGCAGGAACATCATTAAGCATAAAAAAAAGGGTACGATGGATAAAGAGTCTATTGATTGCTTGAAAACAGGAAATGAAACAGAAAGTGTAAGGGCTACGTTGTGGAGCGTGCACCACTTAAAGAGATCCTCCCACATCGCAAATCAGGTAATGATTGACATTTTAGTGATGGGCAACGGAGACAGGAATGCTTCGGCAGCGAAAAGAAAGAGCAGTCAGCATCTTCCTTTAATGGGGGGGGAAACCTTGAAACAGCGATGGTGTCGAGGATATAAAACGTCAGACTCCTACTGCAATCGCAAATGATACTGACTCAGCGCCACAATCGGGAAACAAACCATATCAGTTTCTTATAAAGCCAAAAATCTAAATGGGAAATCTTTTCAGAGGGGCCACGGAGGAAAATATCACACCTTGACATATTGAGATTCAAAATAGTGTTTTCATTCCTCTGTGAGGCAACTGGGCAGCACATTTTCTTTTCACTTGCAGAACAGGCACATCAGGCTTTTAGTGGGTTGAGGCTAATGGAGAGTGTAATTTTCACATGTCCACTGGATCTGAAAATTGTCCATCTGGAGTGACACAAAACTGAACCTTCTGCAGAAATGCATCTTTTAGGAAGAAAGTGCATCTTGTTTGCATTTAACAAGGCACCTTAGTTTTTGAATGCAGCTGAGGAAACCAGAATCTGTTCCTTAAAGACAACAAATGATGTATCACCTCATCCCTCCCTCATTTGATATTCTTTTTCTATTTTTTTTTTTTTTTGTTGTTGCTTGTCTCTAGAGGGACGTGATGAGGGGGTAGTCAGCCCGCCAACACGTAAGCTTAGAAAGTGCAAACACCGTGTAAAAGCGAGGGAAGAATATAACATTTCTTTGTGGTACAGGAGAAGGGTGTCAATATTTCTGATCTATATTCAGACATCCTGTTGCCTGGTTAGGAATGGGAGGTGAGGGCATGCAGGTTCTGTGACGCCAATGCACCAACACCACTTTAGCAAATTAGTAAACACTCTTTCAGGAATTCTTTAATGCAATGCTGACGGGAAAAGGCTCATTAGGTTATAATTGTTTAATGCCGACCAATCAAGGAAAATTTTTTTTATTTTGCATTAATAGATCATGAGTGAGTGAATCAACATTTCTTTGCCCCCCTTCTTGTCAAAAAGGCTTGAACAAATTTGCCTTTAGTGAAATTGCCTCACACTCCTCACCTTAACAGGATGTGACAGGTCTGGTTTAGGTAATGAGCAAATTAGTGCTGAAACCATTAGTCAGTACAACACTTCATGTAACCAGGAAAGGGCCTCAATGAGATTAAAAATGTTTTTTTGTTGTTTAACAAGCAAAAAACAACCAACATACACTGCTTACATCTGCTCAAACATGATGATTCTGTGCTCATTTCTTTGTAAATGTAATATATTAAGGTTTTCTTTGTGTTTAAATGTTGATTGATGCCCATGTTTTACTATTTCTGATTTTTTATGGAGTAAATTATTAATTAGTTAATTCAAAAAGAGTTGACAGATTCATCTATAAAATAATCATGAGTGGAAGCCAAAGAAGAAATAATAAACAGGGTAGCAGTCTGGACTGTGACCAAAGTGGGTGATGGGACACAGATACAATGGCTGCTCCATTTCTAAATAAATGAAAATATGAGTTCAGCATCAGTGAACGTTCGACTCGCACCGACACCAAAGTCATTCTTTATCTTTAGTCACATGAACACAACAGAGCGAGTATTCACTGAGACCTGTGCTGTCCTGCAGAATTATTTCCTGGGTGTATATGTGTATATATAAATACATTTGGTATTTAAGTGTATCGTAAAATATGAGAAACTGATGCAACTAACAATTTCATTACTGATTAATCAAGTTATTGTCCTACATCACAGGAAATTTGCATTGTGCTTTTACCCGTGCTGCATCCATAACAAACATTTCTCACAGTTTCCCAGGTGACAAAAATACTTAATTGACATTAAGATAAGACATTAGATAAATAGAGAAAGGCAGCAAATCCTCACGCTGGAGAAGCCGGAGGAAGCAAATTGCTTTCAATGTACAAAACAGCTTCCTATATATTTTTTGTCCATCGATCAATCAAGTAATCAGCTGATCGTTTCAGCTCTCAAAACCTGTATTTCCACAATGCAAATTGTGTAATAACTTATATTTAAGTGAGCATCTTAACATCCACTTATTGAGGCAAATTCCTTACTCGGCAATAAACCTGAATCTGATGTACTGTAGCTCCATCTCAGCTGATCAACACAGATCTATTGAAACCTAATCTACATTTATATTCTAATTGAATTTAACTGGCAAAGCACAAGTACACAATATAGTAAAGTAATTGGGGCTTTTAGCTTCAACCTCATCCATGAGAAACAGCCTCAGTTTTCTAGGATGTATGTTCCCTGTGGAGCCACACAGTGAGATCCAGACCTAAGACAGGTTCCCTGCTGGAAACTAGGGCAGTGTGTCACACTGTTGCATCACACCATGAGGGATTCATGCATTCTGCCATATCGGATTTTATCCAACGTGTTTGGGCCAAGCTGATAACAACCCTCCATTAAATTTATCAATCTGCATTGAATAATAATTTTGAAGAAGTGTGCTTTTGGCAGCAATGTCGGTGCTGCAGTAAATCATACTGAATATCACCTCATAAATAAGGTTTACAGAGCAGGCTGCACTCTTCTGTTTGCTGTATAATCTTTTGCAAGCACCAAAGTCTACATTTAAAGAGACATGTCAGTTGTGAAGAGCTAGTACAGGAAGTTTTAGGTGAACTACCTGAAGGTCCTCTCCGTCCAGTCTTGTCTTGGTGCCTCCCGGGCCCTTCTTTGGTTTCCATCTGAGGTTCTGTGGTCTCATCCTCTGTGGTCTCAGAGTCTGAAGTAAACAGATGTAAAACACAGCGAGTTAAGATGGAGAAAGAAGGTGGAGGTTCAGGCTAAGAGAAACTGAGGTGGAGGAGAAGAGGAGGCTGAAAACAACAACCTCGTGAAAATGACATTTCACATTTACTTAGTGACACAGAGTTTGAATGGTCCTTGAAAAGAGCCGTTGAGAGCCCCCGGAGTGAAATAAATGGGTTGAAGCTCGAGCGTGACATGAAGCCAGCTGTGGCTTAGAAAAAATACATGGCTGATACATGAAAGGGAGGGGGTGTGCACAGACACTCTTTCCTCGGGGTCGGGATTCATTTGACTTGGGTAATGAAACAGCAGGGCGAGCTTTGTTTCTTTATTTAGACTGACCGCTTTGTTCCTTTTATTTTTACTTCTTTCTATTTAGAAATTCTATAAATATGACCCATTCCACCTGCTAAAATCATTACTCACATCCTGCTCAAACACAATACCTCTTAACCAAAGCAGATTGACAAGTAAATGTTGAAATTGTGTTAAGAATGATTTCTTTTTCACTTTGGAAAAGATGTTCTCATTATGACTCCTATGCTAACTAAGCTAAACTAAAATGTGACTAGATGTCAAAATGATGTGATGACTTCTGGGTAAACCTTTTCAAAGGATCAGCATAAGTGAAACAATATGAACTGATATTTCTGTGCAGCAGTGAAGCCATTTAGAAAAATGACATGATAAACGGGAGATAGTCACAAAAAAATGAAACTCAAACCACGAAAATGTCATACTGTATGTGCCAACAAAAAGAAAGATTCATTCCTTTGACTGTGGTCTTGATTTTATAAAAGCACATTCAAAAACAGAAAAAAACAGACAAGTATGTGGGTGCTGTGGCAGTGTGGACAAATAAAATATTATGGATTTATCGAGGAAGCTGATCTTAAAAATTAAGGACAAGAAAAAACACAATAAAAGGGAAAAGGACAGAGAAACAGAAACCACAGACAGGGTCAAAACAAACTGCCTGAAACCACATCTCTGTGGCTGAGATCACATTACATCAGCAGGGCGAGCAGATGAAGGCAGGGATGGATGGATGAGAAGATACATAAAAAAAAAAAGTGAGCTAAAGATGAATCAAGACAGGCAGGTTTACCATAGCTTTGCTTTCGGCAGGAGCGGAAAACTTCGCTTCCATAGTGGCAGCAAGAGAGGGCAGACGGGAGAGCACCGTTACTATGGAAACCAGCATCTCTCTCACCCACACGACCAATCCTCTTCGTACCCATTTGAGTCTAAAATCACCAGCCAAACTGCTGGGTGGCTGACAGATATGTTTACTGGTTAGAGAGCTCATGAAGGAGGAGGACGACAACCACAAAATGGGTTGCACCCCATTGCGCCTCACATCAAGTCAGATCCTGATTAGATAATTCCAGAAGGTTCTGCCTAATGATAAGAAAGCCAATGTAACATGAACAATCACCATTAAGTCATTACATTGCTAGCAGCATGTGTGCGTTTTCCTGGGTGTGGGTATGTAGATCCACCCATCCGTATCAAATGAAGTTAAATGGCTTGCACACCAGGCGAGGGAAATCGACTCAGCAATGTAATTATGAGGGAATATATTTCACAGCATATAGCTTGTATTGTAATGTAAATATGATTTGGAGTCGAGTAGAGCAAGCCCCTGGTTTGGCTTGGATCATAGATTGCACAAATATTGCCAAATATTATATCATAAACCATCGAGGCCAGACATTATTCACTCAAGGATTTTATGCAGAGAGCCAACAGCGTGATTACAAAAATATTGCTTTGTGGGGGTGGATATACAATAATAAAACCCACTGTCGTTGGTAAGCAGTCAAGCAGTAAAAACATATAGATACACTAAAGCAATACAGATGTTCTACAACAGCAACTTTCATAAATAAAAGAATTATTACAGGAATAAATCAAAAGGGAAGCACATGCTGCTGAAGGCTTAAACACAAAGAGAAACAGAGGAAAAGGCCGGAGAAAATCATAAAGCCACAGTGGTTTAGATTTTTAACAAGAACAGAGTAGAATTGGTGTAAAGCTCATACTGACAACACACCATGGGTAAATCTGCCAAATGTCCGTGTGGAATGCCCAGTTCTCTGAAACAAGATACAGAGGACAATACATTATTTAACAGTAAACACAGCCAAAGATTCTGTTTTACACAGAACGCTAGTGCAAATTGCAAAGGTCCCTTTCACCCAAAAGTACTGTTGTCGTCACATCAGTGTGAATAGTGATAGTAGCATTTCACTTTCAAAATGCTAGATTTGGACTAGAATGTGTTATTGTTTAGAAATCACAGTCAGCACCAGGTCGGTATGTGATCTGTACCTCCTGCCCAATCCGTACCGCACATGTGCAGCTCTCAGCAGAGATTAGAAGGAAGTAAGATGGCTCATTTGTCACCTACTTCCATCATCAGCTCAGAAGAAAAATGATTTTTTAACGTCTTTTGGATGCTATCTGATGAGGTATATGACAAGGTGACTTATATGTTAAGGTACTAACGCTACCTTAGCTAATACAGAAAAGTAAGACTTTTGTTTTTACATTCAGAAGCGAAATAGTACATCGTAACACAACGTTTTTTTCCGGAGCTGATAATAACTGAGGTAGCAAACGAATCAGCGGTCTTGCTTTCTTCTACTCTTGGTTCTGAGTTACGCAGTACCACTCGACACTGACAATCACCTTTTTGTATGAGGTAACGTTATTCAAAAAGGTATAATGATAAAATGTGTTTAATCTAGACCTGAGAGACCTGACCTTGAGAACAGCATGTGTGACAAAATCCCAACTCAAAGGTCTACTTGTTTTTGGAGCTTCCTCCTGGTCAGATCAGTGTGGACCTTTGAGTTGAAATTATGAAATGCCACAGGTACATTAAGACATTTATATATATATAGATATATGTAATAAAAGAATAATGGATACAAGCTTGAAAGTCCTATCCAGTGGCCCATTTCATAAAAGCAATTAAGCTACTCGCACGTAGTTTTCAAACAGTAACGGCGGCACATTTCACAAATGAAGAAAGTTCTACAGTAAGCTTTAACAACTCCATTTGTTCGTTTTTAATTACATTTTGCTTGAAAACATCTAGACATCACACTTTAGAAAAACTATAACAAGATATGATCATATTACGATCAGATTCCACCAAGAGTTGATGAATGAATTATCGCAAATCAAGTTTGTTTTCTAAAAACGAAAAATATCTGGCAAGCTCTCCCAGCCATGTTTGAGTTAAGTGTCCCCTGCTGATAAAGCTGTTGGCGAAAGTGCTTCATGGACAGTCTGTCAATCAGCACCAAGGAGAGCTCCTCAGAATGACTCACTGCTTTGCAGCGAATGGAAATGAAAAAGTAGCAAAAGTGCAAAGTGAAATGACTCATTTCACACTCCCCCCCCCAATGTTTGCTGCGCGCTCCACATTGGTTCATGTTTTTGTGTCAGGCAATTTGATTAACTGTTGCCTGGTGGTAACTGCTGTTTGATAGACTTCACTAGAAGCTTCCATTCGTTGTCGTGATCTCCATTGTTATGGCCTCAGGGCAATCATATCAGCAAAACCCAGCCACAAACGGCAACCCTTTGAAAAGGCTGCATTTGGCAAATACTTCAAAAATATTCTATGGATATAATCCAAATCCTACCAGCATTATTCTCACAAATCTGCTGCTGCATGCAAAAGAACGAGTCTCAAGGGTTTGATATTGATGCAGGATTCAGAGGAGGCAAAGCGACCATCAGAAATCAGCTTTATCCTGTGCTTTGCTCACTTTGTAGCCCTTACGACTGGCTGCCCTGATTCTCATGTCTCCATGGAGTGTAGCCTACTGACACACTTTTCATCTGCTCCAAATTTGTGAAACCTGTTATAAGAATTACTTTTTATATAACAAATCTGTCACGACTGCCAAGGGAAGATACATATTTCATGAGAATGTGCACGGTGGTAAAGCAGAAATTGGCACTGTTTGATGACGTGAAAGTGGATTATTGAGCCTTTTTAGTGTTTCGGTGTGAGGGTAGTGAGAATTCTCATTGCTTATACTGTACTAAAATAAATTTCTCTACCTAGCAACCAGAGTTTTCCTGCGCTCACTTTCTTTCTTTGTTACGTTGTCCTGATTTGTCCTCAATTTGATAATAGACAACAAAGGCGGAAAACAGCAAGCATCACCTCTCTTATCCATACTTTCTTTCGTTCAGCATAAAATAATGGTGCAAGGTTTCAATGACAAAATATTCCTTAAATGTTTATTTTACCACTGTTATCGGTTATAAATCAACACATTTGCATCTCATTACCAGGTAAAGGGTGTGGCATGACCTCCCAGTATGTAAAAACCTACTAATCTCTATTAAAATGAACATGGATGTAGCTTAATAAGACCATCATTAAACGCAGATTTTCCCAAAAAGGAACAAACTCACCTGAAATCTCTTCTTGGACCAGATTTTCTTCATCTCTTCAAGTAGTGCTTCCTGTCAAGCGTGCGAGATTACCTGTGGCATGAGCTCACAAAAACATCCCTAAAACCCGAATAAGCCCAGGGTGTGGCGTCAACAACAACAACAACAACAAAATCAAGATTCAAAACGGGATTCAGCTGCCTTTTGTGCGTGGGTGTGTTTACTCTCCAGTCTGGCAGCAAGACGGGGAGAAAGGGAGAGTGAGAGAAAGAGAGAGGATGCAAATAAGCCGGAGCCAGGTGTCTTTGTGTCTGAGTGTGTATCCGCTGATGTGAACAGCGTCCCTCTCTGACGTAGACGTTGCCTTTAGAGGGGCAATTCTCAGCTGGTTTGTCCAACCCCCCTTCCCCCCCACCCCCCACCCTGCCCGTTCTGCCTCAATCGAGAGCACACTCAGAACAAGAGGAGGTGGGGGTGGGAAGTCTGAGCATAAGGGGTGTGTTGGTCTTGATTGCGGTGATGAGAGCGGAGGATAAAAGGAGGAGGAGGTAA